TTTTGCTTACTGATAAAAATGCATGAATAAGATCAGTTTTAATTGCTGCTAATGGTCGATCTTTAACAACAATCATATGATGATCTTCTTGCATAGCATCAATAATATGATGAAATAGAGATTTTTTTGTTGCTTCAGGTGTTGTACCATATTGTGATGGAGAATTTGATGTTGTTGAATTATCATTTTCATTTACTTCAAAAAAAGAAAAAAAACAAATTTTGCAAAATGAATTATTTTTTTTTTTCATATATGATTAATTTACATAAAATTTTTGGTCGTCGATGAAATCTTGGTGTACCAACATTTTGAAAACTTTGTTTTAAATTATTTAATTTATGTCTCCATTGATTATTATTTGGTGTTTGAGGAATATTTGTTTGATTTGGTGGTGTATATATAAGTGAATTATTATTATTAGTATTATTATTTGATATAACTGTTGGTGATAATTCCATATTAATTGTTTCTGATGTTTGAGCTACGGATGATGGTAGTGGTAGTGGTGGTGGTGGTGGTGGTGGTGGTGGTGGTAATGGATATTGTCGTCGTGATGGTTGAGATGATTTTGTACCATTATTAATTGTAGTTTCTGTATTAACAGATGAATATGATTGATCACTACTTATATTTATTGATTGTGTTGATGGTTGTGTTGTAAGAATATTTTCATTTTGTGATACAGTTGATGTATTACGATGATGACGATGAATTTGTGGTATTTGATTTGATGGATTTTCAGTAGATGTTTTACCAGTAGTAAATGCTTGTATTTTTGTAAAAACATCTTTTTTTATTATTGTTGGTGATGAACATGGACTAACTGATGGAGTATTATTAGCTGATATAGTTTTATTACTAAAATAAAATATTTAATTAAAAAAAGAAAAATAAAATCAATTCAAAAAAAAATAAGAAGAAAAATCAAGATTTTTTATTTATACACGCACAAATTATCTTAAGTTATTCCAAATTGTACAGTAGAATGGTAGATGTAAGGCATAATTTTCTTGTCTTCAAAGAGAAAGACATGAGAATCTTTCATGTGTAAAACTGTCATTAAACCGCAGATGTTTTACTGAATCTCATTATTTTATATAGTGACATCAAAGTTAGTATTACAATTTATGATATTAATTTTATTTTTTTCTATAGATTCATATTGTGATAAAATCAATAGTATAATAATTGATATATTTATATTTAAAATATTATATAAATTTTTTGCTTAGTATTTTCTTTGACAAACTTTCTTTTTTTTTTTAACAGTATTATAGTTGATGATAAGATATTACCTTCAACAAATATGATGTAATTTCCTATCTCATTTCTTCTATATAGATTGGAAAGATTCATGGTCGTTATTACCATATGCATGAAATTCATCATATATGAAAACTGATGATAGTTATTAGTCAATACAACCATTGAAGAACGTTTATATAGAGTATAAATTATGAATCATCAAATATCATTAATCCCTTGAGGACGGAAGACATATATATACGTCCGGTTTCAAATCAACACCTAATTAATTTACGCATATCTCTTATGATACACTGTTAAGATCTCTAACAGCAAAGATACTATCATCCATATTGTGGTTTCGGTTGAAAAGAAGATCTACACCCTGAAGATTATCAAATTATAAAATACTTGTATATAATATCATTGAGGCTTCGCAATTTCCTTTTTTTTTTTTTTCTCCTTAAAAATAACTACGTTCTCCAGGGATTAACAAATCTCTATTTTCAATAAAGACACAAAAAAAAAAAAAAGAAATCATGGTTTAGGACGATTTCATCATACAATTAATTGGACTAATAAATCACGCTAAAAAAAGAACACATCGATTTTTATCACATGAGTTAATTTAAGAATTTCTTCTTAACTAATTCTCTATCTATATGAGTTCGATGTATGAAATCTTTTTTTCTTCAATAATTCAAAATGATTAGAATCTAAAATTAATTGATTATTATTTTACCTTATATTCGAATAGAGTTGTCGTCTTGATACTAATGGTGAACCTTCAGCAAGTTGACCAACAATACCTGATCGATATGCATTTGGATTTGGACTTTGTGCAGCACTTGTTCCATTCGAACGATGACGATCAACACGTTTTTGTGGAACATCCGCTATAAATCAAAAAAAAAAAATATAAAACAACAATTTTTTTTTTTTTTATTAATTTACGTGAACCCGAACGACTTCGTTGTTTTGCATCTTCTGCATCGTCATAACTTGGTTGACGCATTTTACGATCAAGTAAAAGAAAATAAATAACTTTTTCTGTATTATGTCTTAAAAAAAAAAAAAAAACAAAAGTTCTTAAATCTATTTAGTTTATTTTTTGCTTACTTTGAATTTAATAAAGCTTCAATTAAACGTTGTCGATCTTTAAAACAACCTAATGATGTCATTGCTGCAAATACATCTGCATCAATATCTTCTTCATTCGGAATGATTGTTGTCTATTAAAATATAATAATAAGAATATATGTTAATATATATATATATTCATACTTGAACAACTTGTACCATTGGTAATTCTAATTCTAATTCAGCTTTTGTTCCTCTGTAGAATACAAAAGTAAAATCAAATGTAATAAAATTATTTTCTTGAAAAATCAAAAAATAAAACCAATACATTCATGCAAGCAAGCAAACGGATGTTTTTCTTTCTTTCGACACCATTGTGTTACAACAACTACTACGAAAAGGGATACCAGAAGCATGCTTCGAACATATATATATAACAGCAAATGAGCAAACAAACAAACTTAAAAACAATAAAAAAATCACGAACATAGACGTAGGTTGATGTGTTTTTCTTTTAATTGATGATGAAGATGTACAACGATTAGACGATATCGGTACACGATTACGACGATGAATAGGTATATGTTCGCTATTTACGTACTGTGTAACCCATGAATGTCGACTAACATCTTCCAACTGTAATAATCATTTATTAATAAAGAAGAAAAAAAAGAAAAAAATGATAAGCAAGCGAGCATGAGCGCACGAAAAATAAAAATAGAAACAACAGAATTTTTTGTTTTTTGTTCTCATTTTAGATTAATAATTACCGTTAGTCGTTTGTTTGGATCAACTTCAATCATTCCACGTAATAATTGTTGACAATCAATTGGAACAAAATGTGGTATATGAAAAACACCTTTTTTTACTTTTTCAAGTAATTGTCGAAGATTATCATCATCAAATGGTAATGCACCCTATATGAATATAAAACAAAAAAAAAAAATTTAGCTTCTTTTTTTGTTTACCACAAGTAAAGCATAAAGAATAACACCACATGACCAAACATCAGCTTTTCGTCCATCATATTTTTCACCCTATATTAGAAATTAAATTCTATTAAAACAAAAAAAACAAAAAAAAACTTTACCTTAATTACTTCAGGACAAGCTAAATAAATGATGAAAAAAAAAAATATATATATATATAATTTTTTTTATTCTTACCATAATGTGGTGAACCACAACTTGTTTCTAAAAATGATCCTTCAACTTGTAATGATGCCATACCAAAATCAGCTACACGTATATTCATTTTATCATCAAGTAATAAATTTTCCGGTCTAGATGAATATTTTAATAATAATTATATTTTTCAATTTTTACTACTTACTTAAGATCACGATGACTAGAAAACAATAAAAAGAAATAAATCAAAACAAAAAAAATCTTAAATTTTTATTTTTACATACCAAATCATATGACTATGACAAAAATCAAGTGCTGATATAATTTGTCGAAAAAATTTTCTTGCTTCTTTTGGTGTTAAACGACCTTTTTTTACAAGATAATCAAAAAGTTCACCACCAGCAACATGTTCAAGTATTAAATATAAATATTTTCGACTTTCATATACATCATATAAACGTAATACATGTGGATGTTCAATTAATTTCATTATAGCTATTTCACGTTCAACCTATTAAAAAAAAAATCAAATATTAATTTTTACAACAATAAAACTGTTTTTGTTTTTTTGTTCTTTACTTTCATCAATACAGATTCAGATAAAGCTTCACGATTAACAATTTTAATTGCAACTTTTTCTGCAGTTAAATAATGAACACCCAATTTAACAAGTCCTATGTTAATATAAAATTAATTGACAAAAAAATAGAATAAGTATAATTATACCTGTTTGACCTTTGCCTAATGTTTTTTGTAAAAGATATGGTCCAACATATTGAGATGTACGAGGTGGTGCTGTAGTATTTGATGTTTTCACATTGAACGACATTGCTAAAATAAAAAATTTCAATTATTCAATCATAAATAAATTTTTTTTAACTTACATATTGATTGAAGGAAAATAAAAATACAACTAAATAACTATCTATCAGCTATTAAACATTATTTCTATAAACAGTAGACTACTCAAACATATTTTGATGATCATTAAAACAAGATGATAATTTTCTTTTTTTTGGATATAATTGGTAAATTATGGATATCATTCAACCATAATCATCTCAAATAATTTTTTCATCATAATGCATAAAACACTTAATATAATATATTAATAAAAAAAAAATAAAAATATATTCTTTATTATAAATTTTATTTATTTTTTTTGAAAATTTTTTATTAAAATAAAAAAATTCTTATCTCTTTCTTTATCTTATAAATATATCAACATTCTATGACCTCTCTAACGATGTTCGTTTGGTTTTTTGCTTAGTGCCTAAATTCTTTCCGATATCTTCTCTTTCTTTCGATACTCGTCCTCCTCTTCTCCTTCTTCTCCTTTTATCGGTCATCGATATTTTACCAAGACATACAAACTATCCTTTTTTTTTTTTTCGTCTACGTTTATAACAGAAAAACTAACAAAACTTAATCATCAAAAAACAAAACAAAAATTTCTATTCACTTTTTGTTTTTTTTATAGATGCAATTTTCGAATTTGTGACAATAGAAACAAAAAAATAACAACAATAAAAAAAAAAAAACAACAATATGGTGCTTGAATTTGATTACGGTGTTAATACAGGAAATCGTTTTCTTGAATTTGTTGATCATGATGAAGAACCTGAAGCATTTATTGCTGCTCAAACAAAAGAAGAAGTCAAACAAAAAAAATCATTAACAAAAGATGTTAAACAACCAACGAAAAAATCTACAACTAAAATAACAACTTCAACAGCAACAACAACAACAACAACAACAGCAAAGACTAATAAAGAAAATTTAACTACAAAATCAACTAATGTTGAACAACGACGACAACAATCAGCTACTGTACCAGCTGTTTTTAGTGATAATAACAATCAACAAATACGTGGTGATAGTGCTCGAGGTTTATTTATTATTTATTTAATTTGATTAATAAAATATAAATTTATTTTATAATATAGGCACTCGTGGTGGTTCAAGAAGAGGTGGACCACCTTATGAAGGTGCTGGTCGTGGACGTTCTCAACGTTTTAATAAATTTGAAGGACAAGGTTCATCATCAACAAATGAAACATCTTCATTTGATCAAAGTGGTGAAACTTGGAATAATGAAACAGGAACTCGTGGTAGTGGTCGCGGACGTGGTGGACCAAGACGTGGTAATTTTGAAGGTGGCCGTGGAGGTATTGGTGGTGGTCGAGGTCGTGGACGTGGTGCACGTGGAAATTTCAATAATCGAAATCAAGAAGAAGGTTCACAACAAGATAATAGTGGTTGGCAACAAACTACTGAGTATGTTGTTAAATATTAAAACATATGAGACTAGAAAATTTTGTTAAATTTTTTCGACTATATTGTGCCAAGGGAATGTTTAATCGATTGGCATTCGATCGATCATGATGAGTTGTAAGCATTTTATTCGATGTATGAGTATAAGATATCCCGATAATTGAATTTCAAACTGAGTTTTTGTTTCATAGGAAAATTTTTCTTCAAAATTTGAGCTAAGTCATATATATTCTTATCGATATATCAAGTTTATCATAAAAATATTCTTCTATTGATACATACTTCTCAAAACAAAAAAGGTGTTTCTTTAAAATGTAAATAATAATAATAATATGATAAGAATATCATCATTCTAGTTCAAATGTTGAAAAGTTCTTCATCGAACAAAAATAATCTTGTAAACGAAGACGGAACAAATCAAAATCGATGAGTAAAACAATAGCCTTAAGCAAAAACACAATTAGGTAATCATTTTTAAAAAGATTTATCTTCTATGAATACATAAGAAGTGTAATAGTCATTAGAAAAAAAAAAGAGCTCATCGGATTCAGCCGATCGTATTCTGATAATATCAATAAAATTTTGTAATCGACATTGAATAGTAATTCGAAAGATAGCAATGACTTTTTTTTCTTCTATTCGATGACAATCACATCCTACATATTTATCCGAGGACTGAAATCTAAGACTAATTCAACAAGTTCTCTTATCTAGATAATATTGTAGAAATTTGAAAATTTTTATAGATTACGACTATTTGCTGTATATGTATTTCATTATTTAGATTTAGATAGAAATTAGAATAAAGTTATGTTTCTTTTTTTAGATCAAATTTTGAAAGTACTCGTCCACCATCAAATCGTGAATTTGATCAAGAAGGATCACCACAGGAACGACCATTTGAACCTGATAATACACGACGTAATCCTCGTGGTAATTATCGTGGTCGAACATTTCATAATAATCGTAATTATGGTGATCGTGAAGGTACTGAAGGTTCTCAAGAAGATTATCGAACTAATCGTCGTCAAACTGATCGTCAACCACGTTCATTTGTTTCGTAAATAAAAAAAAATAATATTTTTGTCTATATATATATATATGTTTTTTGCTCTTATAGAAGTGTTAAACCAATTGAAAAAAAAGATGGTGAAGGTGCACATAATTGGGGTAAACCAACAGAAAATCCTGAAGAACATCCAATAACTGAGTAAAAAAAAAAATTTTATTTAAAATAAATTTTTAAAAACAAAAAAAAAAAAATAATTTAGTGAAACAACTGAAACAACAGGACCAACATCAAAAGATTGGGCACAACAAGTTGAAGAAGCTGAAAAACAAATGACATTGGATGAATATAAAAGACAACTTGAAGCAAAAAAACGTGCATATCAAGAAAAATTACCACAATTTAAAACACGTGTTGCTGGTGAAGGTGAAGATCCAAAAAATTGGCATAAATTTGAACAAGAATATCGAAAAAAAACTGGTGATGATGAAGATGAAGATGAAGAAGATGAAGATGGAAGTGGTATTGAAGGTAAATTTAATAAAATTAATTTTTTTTATTTAAATTCTATTTTAGAAAATGAAAGTGGTGAAGAACTTGAAGAAGAACATATAGGTGGAAAGAAAAAACTTATTACAATTCCACTTCGTTTTAAACCAATTGAACTTTCACGTGGTTCAGCTGGTTCAAGAGGTGGACAACGTCGTGGTGGTAATCGTTTTCGACCAAATCGTGATGAACAACCAAGATGTAAATTTCAACAATAAAATAAATATAAACTTATTTTGTTTTGTTTCATTTAGCTACTTCACCAACTCAAGGTCAAAGTTCACCATCATCTCAACAATATGATGATCAACAAGGTTCATCATATCGAGGTGTACGTCGTGGTGGTGATTATCGTCGTCCTACTCGTGGTTCGCGTCAAGGAGGTCGTACAAATGCTGATCCAAATGCACCAGCACTTGATAATCCAGAAGATTTTCCTACACTTCCCAAACAGTAAACAAAAGAAACATACACAATGGTTTAAAATTGACATAAAATGAAAACTCTACTCCTCTTGCGCATTTCATCTCTATCTGAGCTATTCCTAACTTCTTTTCGTTTTCTTTTTCTTTTTTTTTTAGTTTAAAACAAACAACACACGTATAACACATATTCTAGAACAGTTTGTTTTTTTTTCTTCTTCTTCTTCTTTCTTTTTGCATGATCGTTGTTATTTGTTTCTGTTAAACCATTATCAGAGTCTGTTGAATGGATTGACTGACTTTCTTTTTTTTTTTTTTTTTATTTCTGATTCGTTTGTTAAGATATTAACCTTCTTTCTTAGGTATTCGCCCTTTTTTGCTGTTGTTATTGTTGTTGTGGATAGCGTATTGCACTTCAACAATTGAGATATCTTTTTTGTTGTTGTTGTTACCTATGTTTGTTTTCTTTCTCTTTTATTGTTGCGACCAAAACATATGGACGTTCGTTACTACCGTAGCAAAGTTTTTCTTTCTTTTCATTTTTTTTTTTTTTGATACGGTTTTTTTTTTTTCATTTTTCTTGTCATTCACACGCCACTAACTTTAGAACATTAACTCATGCACACAGAAAACTTCACAGTTATGTGTGCGTTTCTTTCTTTCTTTCTTTCTTAGGTTACCGCCGATGCAGGGTGTGTGTGTTTGTTGCTGAGGTTCTTTCTTTTCTTTTTTTTTTTTTCTTTTTCTAAAATTAAATACAAAACTAAACATATTTTGAGATTATATTCAATTAGCCGATGATGATTTGTAATACCAATCAAGCTCAACAGTCATGAAAAAAATTATGTTGAGAAGGTATTGAAACTGAGGCTGAAACAGATTGTATATATATATGGGCATATAAGATTTATGAAAAATGTTGATAATATTTCACTGAAGTTCGATAAGATATTCTAAAGAAATCATATTCTATAATTAAAAACCAAGTAGTAATATTTTATCATGATTTTACGCTTGATATTTACAGTTTGTTTCATTTATGCCTAATAATTATTTATAAATGATCTTTTTATGTCTTAAGTACTTCAGTATATACTGGCCTTGCAAAGAAAATACAGTTGACTTTTTTTTTGTTGTTGATATGACTGATAGAATCAAGATACTGATTACATTAGTATAGAAACAACATTTTTAGTTGTAACCTTTTAGTATTACTACATGAGAAATCAACGTTTCTTTTCCCGTCATTCTTATCTATCGGAATAATGATAATATCGTTCTTTATTGTTTATGTTATTTGAGGACAATAGTTTCTGGTTAGATCGTTTTATTGTAAATTCATATTATATATGTTTCTTTAATTCATCAAATAACTTCTACAAAAGAATCTTATTGATATTTAATTAAATAGTCAGCATAGGCTTGTGCATCATGATAAACAACAAAAATTTGATTATTATCCGTTGTTGAATCATATCCTTTTGGAGGTACTTTCATTGATGAATTTCCAAAAATATATTTTCCTACAAGTACTAATACAACAAACATACACCGTTCATTAGCTTGATTTGATCGAGTATAGTCATGGCTATATTTAGCATTAGTTGCAAAATAAACACCTTGTCCATAGACCGTACCTAATATAAAAATAATGATTGATTAAATATAATTAATAAACTTACCATTAACACCAGCATATGATCGATTAAAACATTCTTCAACAATACTATTTGCTGAATCTTCATTACAACCATGAAATAACATTTTTTCTGTTTCTTGTTTTAAACGTTCGTTCATTGCATCACGATGTGCTGCATATTGTTTATACCATCGTTGATTTTGTATACGTTCAATTGATTTAATACATATATAATTACCTAACATAGTTTGATCAAATTTATCTTTGATATTTTTATATTCTTCTGAATGTTCACTAAGAATAAAACGACAACAATTTGTTGATTGACATTGCCAATGCATCGGTAAACTATAATTAGTTAAATTTTGTCGTCGTATACTACGAATACGATTATTAAATATTTCTTTGTTCTTATTAAAATCAATAAGACATGTTTCATTTTGTTCATTAGTAATGTTAACCTTAAAAAAGAAATCATATTAATATGATCTTACATGAAATTCTATTAAATACGAACCACAGGTAATTTTCTAAAAGTTAATGCATATTCAATTTCAGCATTACATTTATATGAATAACTTTCCCATGTTGAAGAATCTATTTGATATTCCCAAAGAATATTACGTGAAATATTATCGAGTTGTGTTTGTTTTAAAGCTTGTGTTGTTAATTCAAGAAAATATTTATCTGCATCATCGATAGATGTTTTTTCACCGATTAATATAACTTTTTTTTGTTCTAAATTAATTGTTGGCCATATATAATGATCCAAACAATATTTATAAAATATAAGAACTAATTGTTGTGTCCAAATATCAAGATTTTCTTCTTTTTCTCGACATTTTATTTGTGTACATGTATTAATATGTGATTCAATATCTGATCGACATTTTTTCAAATTTCTTTCTTGTTTAGCAGTAAATGTTAAAGTTAATTCTAAATCAAAAACAAAAAACTATTTTTAAAAAACTACAATTATAATTTCAAACTTCGTCTTTTTCAAATAGAAAACAACATCTTTCAAATACAAGCAAAAAAAGACACTGCATTGACTACTTGTGTTATACCTTAGACATCGAATAGGCATACTTCGATCATGATTTTTCATATTTAAATGTTTCTCTATGAACAAGATACGATGGTTACCGCTTGCAAAATGGTAGCCACATACGACAACATATCCTGTGACTGTTCATTACTAGAGATATGTAGGACCTAGGATTGTTGATAGATTTTAGCAGAACAGGGGCTAAAAATCCTCAAAGAAAGTGCTTTTATCTCCGAGCTGTTAAAAGTGATGACTGGAAGGATGAAGGACAAGGAAGAACAATGCTTAGCGTGACCCAGTCCTTCCGATAACAAACAGTTTGTCATTAAACCGTCTCTTCTACGGAATCCATCTCACTCTTATTTATCTTACAAAACCATTATCTACTTATTTTTATTTCATTTTGCATTACAGAAAAGCAAATGATGTTTTGAAATCCAGTTTCTGTTCAAAGTTACGATGAAGCTGTAAAAAATTAGCATATAGTATTAAGAATTCAAGCAGAAAATCGGACATTAGAGAAAGAAAAAGTTCCCTAATCAAGAATCCCGATGCGAGCATATTTTTTCGTGCCCAGTCGCGGCGAACTCTTAAATTTCGTTCCCATACATATCTCTATTCATTACATACAGTATAGGCATTGCTTAAGGCACTGGCAATTCTATCATATTCGATTTTTGTACTTCCATCCGAATTAAGTCGTGTAATCGAAATCTGAGATATTACAGTGTCCGATGAATAAGAAATAAGAGTTTCTAAAATAACAATGAGCAATCGTTACATTGATGATGATTCTTCGAAAAATTTAATGTAGATCGCTAGTTTCCTAATGTATTACAGTAAAAACATTAAATTTTATACAATAACCTATAGCACGAAAGTCTTAACATCAAATATTTGCTCAGTTTTCTGTCGTTCCGTAGTTCTCTTTAACAATTCATCATAACTATCTATATGTACTCACTTGAAAATGAATACGGTACAGAACCAAATGTTTCTGACGATTGTTTTATTGATGCCAATTTATTAGCAAATCCTTGATATACATTGAATTGATTAGGTAAAATGACGAATGATACTGTAAAATAAAGCATAGTTTCTTTAAGTTTTGTAATAGTTGCATCAATCATTGCATGTGCTACAATATTCACTGGACATTGTATTAAACCACATCCAATAGCTGGAAATGCTACTGTTCTATAAACTTTAGGATGATAAAGAATATGATGTAACGATTTTGATACGAATTCAAATATTGAATTCGATAGAATTTTGGAATCTGACATTGTTTGTGTTACCCAAGGGACAAATAAAATTGCTTTGCAATTCAAATTTCCAGGTCCTGTTTCTATTAAAGAATTTTGTAGATTGACTGAAATAGATAATCGATTATATTCTTCTGTTACTACTAAGCCTGCTTGTTCTAGAATATTCTTTAAAAGAACTTCTGATGTTGAACATACAACAATTACATCAACCTATACATGAAATAAAGGAAATTTTATACAATATTTAATTTTTTTATTAATAACTAACATTTTGTTTGATTAAATCATCAGCCACCAATTGAATTGAACCATTATGTATTGCTGTATTCATTACCATATTTGGAAATAAATGTAAAACTGTTTGTGTTTGATCAATATTCGATAAAGAAAAATCTTTATTGCGCATATTTGGAATATGAAGTCTCTCGACAGTTGATTCAATAGTTGGTTTTAACTCAGTTCTATGTGTTTGAGCTATTGATTTCATCGTATTTTGTTCCTTTCGTAATAACTCACTAATATAAAACATACTTAGTAATGTTTTAAGTGTTCATTCATTTTGCTTACGTAAGTATAAAATTAGGGCAAGTGTATACATCAGTGAAGGTTTGCTGAAAATGAAGAACAAACAAACGTTAAAAAAATTCTTATAAAGATATCTGATATTTTTGAAAGAATCCATCTTTTTGGCAATTTCTGCTGCTCACAGAAGGTACAACTGATCCGCATGAAATTTTACCACAGATAGAGCATATAGAATAATTCAAGTATTTATGGTCGAAGTTTCAGGTTGACTGGATAAAATTGGACTGGAGTCGTAAACGGACCCGATATGTTTTTATGGGAAGCAGAAATGGCCAAAATTGAAGGAAGATATTCTTAACGGGTGCATTAAAAGGTTTTAGACAAACTGTTCTTTCAATTGTCAATTGATCAAGAGAGTGAACGAAAAGTTTATAAACACTTTGCTAAACTAGGAAGTTTATGCTCTTTTAAAAGTTATGACTTACAAGGTGAACTCAATCGTTTTTGGCTAAACAGTTGCGAGATTTCTAGTTCTTAGCTAATTTTATAGAGTACAATCTCAAGTAGAAATATGTCGTACTAGAATTACGAGAAAATAATTGTCATAATGAAAACTGAAGATTATAGTTAAATATTCTATGATTTTAAGGTGTAATAGGGAACATCAATACTGCGAAAAACAAAGTTTATTACCTAGGTGTTGATTCCAAACAATTCAAAACATGATGTAGTCAAGAAAACGAAAGTGAAATTAAGCACAAAAAAATCGTTGAATAAACAGTATGAACAAAATTTTTAATAGAATATAGTCGTATTGTTTTCGTGTCAGAATCAGCTAGTGAAATCTTCTGAGTCGAAAGTTTTTCTTCAGATCTTTCAAAAGTTTCCTCATAACTTTTGATCTGTGTCTCATAAAAATTCTGAATATAGATTCAAAAAGAGTACAAATCTCTGAATGTAAATGTTTAATCCTTTCTGTTCGTCTTATTAATCGATGGAATAATGAAGAAACATTTTGTCTTAAAACCTTTGATGAACTTATTATAGAAATATTGGTTTAATTAGATAAAAATAAGGAAATTTTTTTTTTGCAAATCTTAATTCCATACTCGAAAATACCAAAAGACTATTTGTAAATAGTAGTTACATACTGTTGATATAATTTCATTATAGCATTCTTGACAGAAGAATTCATTATCTTTTGGAATATAACCATCGTCTAATTTTTTACCACATGTTTTCGAAGAACATCGAAAACATTCTTCATGAAATACTTGTCCTTCAGCTTCCACATAAAGTTCTTCTAAAGAAATTCATGTCTAACAAATTTCAAAAAAAAAACCGATCATCAAAAATATGACAATGAAAAAAAATGATTTTCTTCATTTCATATTCAATAACACTTTATCTATTTTCAATTATTTTTACTAACTCGTAGTGATTACTTTGTTACAAGCGATACACTTCGAAGCATATTTGTCATTATAACAAACAACACAATAATTTTTTCCATCACCATCAACTTTATAATTAGTCAAAGGTGCTTGACAATTTGTACATTGAAAACAATCTCTATGCCAATATTTTTCTCCGTTTTTAGCATACTACAACAAAAATAAAGATAAAAGAATGATCAATTGATATGTATTTACACAATAATTTAAATAAACTTTAATACTTTAGCTCCAATAGGTATTAATTTTTCACATTCAGTACATATTTTCCCATATTTTGAATTGTAACAAGATATACATAATTCTTTATTGTTTATTTCTACATATTCCAAACCAGCTAAACTAATATTACAATTACTGCAAGACATTATAACAGTATTGAAGAAAAGACAAAAATGTATTGCAATAGAAATACGTTGCAATAAAAATAACGTAAGAGAATCAGGTATTTGATAAAATATGATAAATGTTTTATTTCAAGTTTGCTTTAAGATAAAAGAAAAAAGAACACATCAATCCTCGAAAAATACGATAACTTTTCTTTTCCTAATAATAGTTTACATTTCAGTTATATGCCATTTTTCTTTCCTTCTTCAAAAACTTCACTAAAATCAAAAGGAATATCTTAACTTAAGATCCGATAGACATCACTTATTATATAGCGACATCTGTCGATGATTACTAAGTCTTTTTTTTTCTCTTCACAATGTTTATTACTTTGATTATTTCATTTATCATTTATTTTTTTTTATTAAAATTTATTAATTTTTACATAAAGGTTTACCATAACTTTTGTATTGGTTAATATCTAGTCCTTTCTTCTTCAATATTCTTTGTCTTATTAAACAAAGACCGCATAGCGGACAATCACAGCCATAAATCACCGTTCAATACGGTATTCGTTGTTGAACATTGAACAACAACGTTATCATCCTTTTAGATCTGTAGTCTAGTCAAATTTTTTTTTGTTCTATTTATTTCGTTTTTTTTTTCTTCTTAAAAAAAAAATCAAAAAACAATGGATGCTCAATATGAACGTCGTCTTCTTCTTTCAATGAATGGTCATAGTTCATTACAATCTTTATCACCATTTAAAAGTCCACTTCAATCACCTTTAAAAACAAGTGATCGATACATTCCACTTCGATCTTCATTAACAATATCGAATCTTCATTATCAAATAAATACTCAAACAACACCATCACCTAATCAAACATGTCCATCATTATCAACAACACCATCACCAAATAAAAAACGTAAATATGAACATAATCAAATTGGTCTTGGTTCTGGTATAACAGCAAATGAACCAGATTTAGCTATTTATCGACAATTATTACAAAATACATTATTAAATACAAATATTGATTCAATATTAAAAATATCTGATGTACAAAATATAAATCAAGAAAATTATAAAACAGTACAAACAAAAAAATCTTCAATTAATAAAGAAAATTCATCTGTATCATTATCATCAACATCAATATTTCGTTATTCTGAACGTGTTGAAAATTTAATATCAACATCAAATTTAATTAATAAACATCATTTTACACATTCACCTATATCAAATGCATCTGTACATTTACTTTATTCACCAAAAAAATCTATACGACGTATACCAAAAGTTCCATATAAAGTATTAGATGCACCAGATTTACAAGATGATTTTTATTTAAATTTAATTGATTGGTCAACATCAAATGTTCTTAGTGTTGGTTTAGGAGCTTGTGTTTATTTATGTAATGCTCAAACAAATAATGTACAACTTTTATGTGATCTTACACATACACAATTACCATCAGGAAATAATAATCAATCAACTATTGGTTCAGATACAGTTACATCTGTAGCATGGGCTGATTGGTCAAATATATTAGCAGTTGGTAAGAATCACCAATACAAAAAAAAAAAACTTTCTATGATATATGATTAAAAAAGATAAGTTTTCAAATGCGTGATAGACAATAAGACTGTCATTTTCTCTAAGATATCATAGGATAGCACATACTTGGAACTAGTTAGAAAAAAAAAAAATCTCGACCGATTTCAAGTATGAGATAGATTCATACATTGATTTCTTCTTTCATCAAAGTATTTTCTGGTGTTACTAGCAACTTGTAAATTATACTTAAAAGAACATTGAATTTTGTATGACTAAAGATTAAGTCCTATGTTACGAATGGCAGAACTAAGCAAGTCCGTATTTGTTCAACTGTGACGAATGAATTGAAGTAATCTTGTTTTATTTCAAATCAAAAAGAACTGAACCGAAAACTCGAGTTAGATGGATTATTGAGAGTTTTCGCCTTGATTCCAACTGTATACAATACAATATGTGTGTTGGAAATAAGAACCACTAACCACGTATCAACTAAAGAAGATCTAATAAAAATTTTTGAGTTCAAAAGGTTCCGTCGCGTATGCAAGATGCTGCGATTATTTCGAGAATGGAATTAATCATCGATACTCTTGTATCATTCTGAATAGGAATTCATCTTGAAATAATAAAGTAGATATGTCATAGTTATATATTTGTTAATTATTTTTTGTCTAGAATTTAAAGCAAATTAATAAAATCTGAATATTGATTATGTTTTGTTTTGTTTTTGTTAAATTTTAGGTACTCATCGTGGTCATGTTCATATTTATGATGTAACAACACAAAAACGTTTACAATCAATGTGTAAACATACAAGTCGTGTTGGTACATTAGCTTGGAATGATTGGACATTATGTTCTGGTTCACGTGATCGTTCAATAATTGAACATGAAATTCGTCAACAATCAGCTTTACATATATTTCATGGTCATACACAAGAAGTATGTGGTCTTAAATGGTCACCGGATAAATCAATATTAGCTAGTGGTGGTAATGATAATCGTCTATTTCTATGGTCAAAAAGTCAACCATCACAACCATTACATTCATTTAATGATCATTTAGCTGCTGTTAAAGCAATAGCATGGTCACCACATCAACATGGTTTAATGGCATCAGGTGGTGGTACAGCTGATCGACATATACGTTTTCGTTCATCATTAACATGTCAAACATTAAATGTTTGTGATACTGGTTCTCAAGTATGTCAATTAGTATGGTCAAAAAATTCTCCTAATGAACTTGCATCAACACATGGTTATTCACAAAATCAAATTGTTGTTTGGAAATATCCAATTATGCAACCATTAGCAAAATTATTTGGTCATCAACAACGTGTTCTTTATTTAGCTATGAGTCCAGATGGTGAATCAATTGTAACAGGTGCTGGTGATGAAACTCTTCGATTTTGGAATGTATTTGCTAAAGCTAAATGTATAAGAAATCCAGATTCAAAATTAAATGGACTTAATCGAATGCGATAAATTGTTTTGGTTCTTTTTTTTGTTTTTGTTTTTTTTGTTAGTAGTCTTAATTTATCATTTCACTTAATTTATTTGTACTAAGCATTTGTGCTTTTTGTTAATACGCCATATTGCCAGATAATTTTGTTTTTTTGTGTTTTTTCTTCACTTTTTTTTGTGTTTATATTTAATGCAATTTTTCTTTCGTTTTCCGACTTTTGTTAGATAATTTTGTGTGTTTGAGTGAATAGTTGATTTTCAACAAAAGAAAAGAAAATTAACTGACACTTTTTCGTCAGATAGATGAATAAATAATTTTGTTTTTAAGACAATGGATGATCATTCATCACATAATTGTAGCTGTCATTTATCATCAAATATAAACAAAGGTGTTTACGAAACACTAGATGAACTTGATTTTCGTCGTGGTCTTTGGTCTTCTGCACAACAAAACGATATAAATGAACTTCGTGAACGATTAAAAACATCAAATTCTAATACTGTCAATAAATGTGATGCCAGTGGTTATACACCACTACATTATTCTGTTCGTTTTCAACCGGCACATGCTTGTTGTTTATTACTTGAACATGGTGCTAATCCTAATTGTCAAACACGAGCATCAAAATCAACACCCCTTCATCGTGCTATTATATTCAATAATATTGATGCTGTTCGTCATTTACTTGAATATAAAGCAGATCTAACATTAAAAGATATCGATGGACATACACCAATAGAAAAAGCTATGACAATAAATAGTGAAATTGCTAATATTCTTCTTCAATCACAGCAATCATGTTGAACTTATTTTATTTTATTGTTTTCCACATGTGTACCTATACTATTCATGTCAAAATATAATATGCTCCATTGGTTTTTGAATAACTTTTGATAGAAATATTACTGAGACCTGCGACTTTTACCATTCCAGAGAGAGAAGACCTAGAATTATCGAAGTACATCAAAATTTAATTGGTCAATAGTTGACCAATCAGGTGAATTCTTGGTGGAGATTTTCGAAAACAATATTCCGGAGTTACGTCTCGTTCGATCTACGCAAAATCGGTATTATTAATTTGTTCTATTCGAGAGTTATATAACTTTTACTGACACTTTCAATTGCAGTCAATAGACATGTGATCATGTCGAAAAACATCTTGACAGAAGTAGTTTACCATGCCTAGGTAACATGGATGCTGTTTTCAGAATTCCAAAAATATTGAGTTAAAAAATTCAGATCATTTCGAGCCTAAAAACAAATATTACCATTCTATTCAACACAGCGAATCACTCGTGCTTTACTACTTTACTGGATGATCACAAGTAAAATACTGTTTACCAAGGAAACTTCGATATATTTTGATGGTCCCGAGTCTTCCCTCTGCAATGATGAAAATCACAAGACTCTATGATGCTCATATCAATAGTTATTTAAACAATAGTTTGATACATTATATTTTGAAATGGATAGTAGATATGTAATGAAAAAAAAGACTTCTACATTTGTAAAGCGAAAGGAATTTTGAGCGATGTTATTCAATCTGAATTGAATATATTACACGAGTAATAATAAATGTATATTTTGTTTCATTTATAATATGATATTGAAGGTAATTGTATATATGTTTGATTATTCTTAAATGTTGAAAATGAGCTATTATGAATACAGAGTAGATTCTAGAATACGAACTATTATTTGTTGATTTAGATAAATGAGAACAAAAAAAAAATGGATAAGATTGCAAAAGATATTTGCCAAAATGATCTTGTAGTAAAAGTCACATATGCTACTGTTTTCATTGAAAAAATAATGAACTGCAAATGTTATATACAATGTGGCCGAAAAAAAAAAAGGTAAAATCAATAGAAGAGAAAAGGACAAGGCAAGACTCATTTTCATACTTCTTTTTCGTCTGATAATTTACTAATAATAACGAAGAAACAAAAAAAAAAAGTAACTGTACAAAAAAGAAATTCACTTGATGATTTTTTTCAAAAAGAAGTGTTTGAATAGAAGAAACTCGTAATTCGGTGTAGCATTTTTTTTTTCTCATAAAAAAACAATTTTTGGTTTATTCTGTTTGAGATCGATTTGAATTACAAATTAGAATCTCAAAATAAATAGATTATTCTTCAGTTGAATGAATATTTTTCTCTTAATTTATAAAACGTTCCGTTGATGTAAAAATTTTTTTGAAAAAAGATCTCGTCTGTATTTTGATCTTTTATTTCAAAAAACAAAAACCTCTACACATGAAAACATATTTATTGCACTTTTCGATCCTACGACAAACTGATTAAAGACATTAACCTTGATGCCCTTTATTCAAATATATAACCACTTTTTATATGCTCTATACAATATATAAAGATCGACAAACTAATAATAACACGTTGATATATATATATAGTATTCTAACATAAAGTTCATTCATATTAAGATTTTTATTTCAATATTTAAAAATATCATTGTTGTTTTTTTTTTTTTTTAAACAATAGAATGTCGTCAACTTTATTTTCAACATCATTGAATTCTACTATTATAACTAGTACAACAATTACAAGTGAAACTATAAATACTTATGATTATGAAGGTGCAGCTATTTATGTAGCTGTTATATTAATTTGGTATTCAACTGGTTTAGCATTAATGTTATTTCTTCAAGTACGTCCACGTACATTTCAAAGTCAATTTTTACTTGATTATCAAACAAATGATAAATCAATATCATTTTCAGCAAATCCATTTGGAAATTATCATAATATTGAAGCTGATACTGCTAAAAAACGTATTCTTAATGAATTAAAAGATCCAGAAAGACGGCAACGTTTATGGAAAATATATTATTCTTCAGAAGAAAAACAAAATGAACCACATCCACGATATTATGAAACGATTACAGCAGATAATGTAACTATTGGTCGTATTAATAGAAAATTAGCTGATATTCATCGAACAGATGCACGAAATCGAGATGATTCAATACTAACATTATTAGATGCATCTTCAAACGTTAATCGATTTGATGGAACAAAATTTCGTACTAAACGAATTAGTTCATTACGTGGAACAAGTGGTATACCTACAAATAATCGAGAGTTATCTGTTTCAATTCAACCTCAATCTACTGATACACAAATAATTATACCAAATACCGAAGTCAAATCTATTACATATGAAAAACAATCAACATTACCATTGACCAATGGTTCACGTAAACGAACTGATAAATTTTCGAATCGATTTCATGTCGAAAAAGTATCTGAAAATAGTAGCGATAGTTCTACTGTAAAAGAAAATACATCACAATAGAATGACTAAAAATTTTGATGTGCACAACTAAGTATTTGACAAGCTCTAATCAATACTTAATCGTGATTCAGCTAAGGAGACAATTTTGAATTCTATATTAATGAATACATTGATTCAAGAGCTTTATGCAAATATAATGTTTAAAATAAAAATATAAATTACTGAAATATGAAACAAGATGACGTTGCTTTTTTTTTCTACATGAAAATTTTTTGTACCAGAATTCCAAGCGCTTAAAGCAAAGTTTTAAATGGGCATATTATCAGATGATATTATTATCGTTCTTAACAATAGAGACATAAACATAAGAAACATAGTACTTAGAACCTCAAAATCGATCTCTAATAAATGTATTGATTTTACAGTACCGGAAACAATACTCTACTACTATCCTATAACAGGAAATTTTACATATATCAGTCATCAATACTTTAGGATAGTGTTGAGTTTTTCAATATTTGACTCCAGCATGCTTCTTACTATTCAAGCAACTAATTTGTTAAAAAATTTTTCATACAGTGCTGTAGGAGTCGGTGAAACAAGTTTCTAACACACAAAACATTTTGTAATGTACAAGTTTTGGAATTTTAGTTTTCAGTATTGCACTCGAATCGTTAACTAAACTTCAATGATCTATATAAGTCCGGTTTTAATATATTTAGCCATTCATGAGTTATTAATATTTTACTAAATGTTTTCGGCAGATTTTTCACGAAATGTTGAGTTTTTTTTCTGATTTTATGACGAGAAATCTACCTTCTAAACCTATTAAAAGGCCTTGATTTTCAAAAACTTGGCCAATGATCTCAAAACTTCCCAGAAAACTCTAGTATTGAGGAGCTAATGCAGCTTCATCTTCGTCTTTTAAACGGTGAAAATCGCAGATCTCTATCTAGTCTCTATCAAAAATTACCCCTAAAAATACTCACCCGTATTTTAATTTAAAATGAATATTAGTTTATGGGTAATGGTCCAACGAATTATTCGTTGAACAATAGTCCAGTTTTATGCACGCCGGTTACAATAGTCTAGTCAACAAACGGCTTGTTAGCACGCAGTAATGCGTCTTGTACCATAAAATTAGCAGCACCATCAAATAGTTCTCTTCACCATCATGCCTGTTCTACACTTACAACTATCAATATTACATTCCAATATGCCAACCATCGTTAATATCACAGCATCACATTCATCATTAACGATCCATCCAATAGACTCTTCAATATCAATCACTGTTGAAAACAGTGCGTCATTGAATTTTTTTATACGATCATGATAAGTGATGTGCAATACTAATCGAACCCAATTTCATAACGACAGTTCCGTCGACTTCTCCTGAACTTTCTCTAGTTTTACTTTCAATCCGTCTTCAAATAGGTTCGAAAGAATTTCTTCAAGCGATTAAAGATATATACATGGATTTTGTCGATGTAATTCGCTTAAGAAAAGAATCTCAACAACTAGAACAAGCTGTTAAACTTGAATTCAATTCTAGACGACCGCAGATTGAAATATTAGAAACAGAAGGATAGCTTCATTATGCTTATTAGTCCTGAAAAGGATGAAGTTACGCCTGAAGTATGCGATGAAAAATGTTTCGATTTCAAAGAACGTTAATGTTTCAGCATATTAAACTATATCTATCGTAGCAGATCGCATAATTCAAACGATACAAAATACAGTGTTTAAAATCAATTTAAATTATTTTCACCTTGTAATTTATTAAATTATAAATTAAATTAAATTGTTCTATTTCTTGATGATATTTCACGTCGGAAATATATCCTATTTTTTAAAGATGACATTTATCTAAAAGTTACCTGTTATGAAATCTTTTCATTGAAACAAAAAGGTACTGATCTACCAAAATATCCTAATCTTCATAAAAATGCGTCGTTCAAAAAGAATCAAATCTCAAATTATGCCAAAGCAGAACTATACATATATCAAATATTGATCTCGTCTCTAAGCAAATTCGAAACCACACTTTATTGTAAACTGACAAACATCGATTTATGAATGTCATATGGTAACAGTCAATCAAGACAATATAAATTAGATTTAATTAAAACATCACTGGTAAGAATTGAAAAGAATATGCTCAATCGATATATACAAAACAAAGATTGCCTAGTGTATTATCAGAAAAATGAATATACTAATCACATTATTAAAAAAGGCATTAAAGAAGGACAGTCAGACGGTGTACAAAGGACTCAACTTTAATACAATGTCGAGCAAACACATTGCGCAATGGGTAGTTTTTTACTTACTGTTCTTAATAATAGTTTCTATCCTTCATGAACCTTTAAATCATGACATATTCAATGACAACGAAGAACAGCGTTTATGGTGTTCGCTTCGTTATTCTCGCTCGATTCATATATACAATACGATTATCTTATTATTTTATTTTCTTGATCCTTTCTGTATTAATCTCTTCTCTGCTATATTCATTATTTTTTTAGTGGTGTTCGTCGACGAGTAAAAACTCAAAAAAAAACTAACCTATAATCAACATCTACGTCAACAGTTGAGTGAAAACAAAAATCTTATTATAAGTCCTGTAACTCTAGTCATTCTGTCGTTATCTCGCTTGATAATATCGATGTTATTAGAATGCGTGAAAATCTCACATAATTCATGGCTATATCTTGCGGGATACATCGTTTCATTTATTTCATCCATAAGTGTTTTCGTTATATTTGTTCTTCCATCGGAATTTTACAGAACACAATTCAAAAAATCGATCAAGTTTTGGCGAAAACAAATCTTCTTATTATGACATTTCTTTTTTCAAAAACCGTTGAACATTTACAAGCAATGCTAATATCTGAAGACTGCTGTGTACTTTTTTTTTCAAGAAAGGCATCCATGAAAGAATGATCTAACAAAAATGAATGATGTAAAACACGAATCAAATTTTAGAGTTGTTAATCTTTAAAAACTTCACAAATTTGTGTGATATTGTAAATATGAACAAGCTTTCATTCATGAACTATAAACATTACGATTAAAATGCTTATAGTAGTCTACGAATATTTTAGACTAGATAGTTTTTCAAATCTCTTCTGATAAGACATATTCTTATCAATTTAATACATAGCTACTTATTATGCACAGTTTTAGAATTTTTTTGTGATATGCTTCAAGCGTTGGGAATATCCTTCAAATGTATGAAAATCTTTCATCTATGAAATATGTAACCTCCAGATAGAATTTTCTCTTCATTAATAATATCCTCAAAGAGAGATATAAAACTTTAATCTGCCCCATAGTGACAAACTTGAAATTTCAATTCAATTCAACTTTTGTGTTTGACATATATGATGAAAATATTTAATTTTTCAATAAGTCTAGCGCAATATTCTTCTGTTTTGCAAGCACATGTATTCTCGTTTTTTGACGGCAAAATTATTCCATATATATAAACCAACATGATCACCGCAAACTCTATCTGATGAGTATCACTTCTGATGAAAACCAGTAACTTTCATGATGTAAACTAGAGGAGAAAAAATTCGTTCTCTTGAACAACTTGAATACCATGATGGAAATCAAAAATGATTAATAATTTTTTTCCAAAACTAGTCTCCAAACGAAATTTGCACAAAATCATATAGTTTCATAAGTTTTTACTACTCTCGCTTTATGGTTGTGCATATGGAAAAAAACTTCGATGGCAGAAAAGTGAACTTCTGTACTTGAAAAACAAAAGCATCTTGCTGTACATAGCTTAACAAGAAAGCTTAAAAACCTCGTGTATTCGCAGGAAAATCTCGGAAATTTATGTTTACTTACAGAATAATTTTCGAGTCGTCATATTTTGTTCATCAAGATGCAAGCTATTTCAAATATTTGTAACTGTTTCGTATATCATAAACAATTGTGAGAAAATGCAATTTTTAAAGTTTTTTTATCAAAACATTAGCGATTATACATGACTAGTATCAATGGACAGCTCACAAGCACTACTAGCAGTATGAATTACATAGTTCATGTAGGAGGATTCACTGATAGTTTTATGATTTGATTTATTGTTATCGTAATGAATACATTTCTCTTCATATACATCCGATATTTTATTATTGAAAGCAATACATAATTGTCATTTTGATTATTTTTGCACTTTCTCCTGCCATAACAAGCAATTCTCAAAGTTTGCAACTGAATCAAGATCAATTGTATGATTGCAAATCGACTTTCATCACTCTAAAACTGAGGATATAATTCTTAGTGACTTTGATCAAAAGAATCCAAGGTCGATGCATCAACATTGAATCAGTGTAAGGTAACGGCTAATCTTCTTTACTGTTTTTTTGTCACTAAAAGTGTACTTTTCATTCTTGTTCTTAGTTTTTGTTTTCTTTTTAACGAAATTTATAATTTAGATATTTTACTCTGCTGATCTAGACATAGTTTTAAATGCATGATAGCTATATTCATCACTTCTAAAAGTCAACAGAGAAATCTGAAAGACTTGAAAAACCGAAAATTTTAGAAAAAAAAACTCTTATTTTTTTTCTGTGTAAGGGTTCAGAAAAATCCATGTAATATTCTTAGATCTCATCATAAAATCAATAAACTAAAGTGCATTTGAGAGTAGGCATTTTACTCTATGAATAAGTTCTCAATTATAAAATCGATAAATTTGACTTTGAAGCAAACCAATTTTTAATATTTAATTATTCTGTAAGAGTTACGCATGTATTTCCATGTAAATCGAACTTAATCAAAAACAAAATACTGTAAAGAATATTCGATTGATTATATTTTATATTTCCACATTGATATATTTAACCATATGAAAAGAAGCGTATGAGTTTTGTTTATGCTTCAGGCATACGGAAAACTAAAGAAATACTATTGCTTTATATTTTACCCTCAATCATGTCTTTCTATCAATTATACATCATTATATCAAGTTAATTTGTCTATAATATTTATTTTGATAATGTTGATATTAAGAGAAATTAATAGATCCAGTTCAAGCATATGGTATAGTATAACTTGCAATCATTAAAACATAAGTTGAACATCAAAATTAATCTTTGATTGTCAATATTAATTTAATATCATACGATAAAGTGAAGAAGTGTTACTAGTAAAACAAATGATGCTGTAGAGTAGAACTATAATCTGATTTATTCTTGAAGCTGAAAAGAGAATAATTAGTTCTGTCATCTTTTTCTTTTTTGTTCTACTTCTTACCATTATTCAACATTGTTCTTTGTTTATATCTATCAATAATTAATTATATCAAACAACCTTTTTTTTTTAATTGTTTTATTTAAATTATATTTCCGGTTCCTATTTTTTTTTTTCTAACACTTTGCTTTCCTTTCTAAATCCATCATATTTAATTATATAGAAAAGACAACGAAGAAGAAAAGAATCTCATTTTTCACTCGTACTTAATGCAATTCACGAAACGGAACACAGACATACAAATAATAGCGAGCAATAGTAACACCGACACGTTCAGCTAGACATATCTAAAAGCACAAAAGTCGACTGTGAACAGCAATAACAACAACAATAATAGTGACAACAACAGGAATATAGAAGAATAGAAAAAAAAAGTCACCAGATTGGGTGCCTATCAATAATTCTTTCTTCTTTAAACTTCGTGCATATGTTAGAACAAAAGTAGTACTGTGAATAACGAAGGCAAGCAATAAGAATGTGAAAAGAAAAAAAAAAGACTGCAGGAAATACTATTAATTTAAGTACGTGCATTCAAAACAACACCATTAATAGAGAAAGAAATGCAGACAGAGAAATAATTCATCAAGCTTATTCACAGTCTGATTTATTATTACACAAATATGTCGAATTGTTTCTTTCGAATCTTAATTATATTTTATTATTTCGAACAGGTCAAAGCACAATATTATCCATATAAACATTATTCACGACATTCAGTCAATGAACCTATTTATGATAATGAAACAATCGTTGAACATGATGATGATAATGGCATGTGTCATTTGACTGTACGATGTCCTTCTGTACCTACTCTCTGTAAAGTAGATTCAATACTTTTTTTTTCTTTAAATTAATTATAAACTTTCATTGTAGATCCTTACGATCGAGATGGTCGCAACCGTCGTTTTAGTGTTGATAGTTTCTTAGCAATGCATGGACCATCAGGACCACCTGGTATTTCAGGTCCACAAGGCAATCCTGGACCACGAGGTGCTGTTGGATCTCAAGGTATTTATACTCATTAAATCATGAGTATGTATTATCCGTTTATTCTATTTAGGTGATGTAGGTCGATCAAAAGAACCAGTACCTATTGTAGCTTTTGTAGCTTATCTTCAAAAAATGCTCTCAGTTGAATCAAATCGTTCAGAACCTATTATTTTTGAAAAGGTTGATGTTAATGAAGGCAATGGTTATAATCTGACAACAGGTATATTTACAGCTATTTATCGAGGTATTTATAAATTTAGTGTAACAATTATGGCACAAATGGATTCAATTGTAAGTTTAATAAAAATAAATATCATCTTATATTTGTTTATTTAATAAATATTAGGCTACTGTACGTATAGTACATAATGAAAATAATGTACTTGGTATGATTCGATGTGATTGTCGACGTCGTTTTTCACATGTTCGTGCATCTGTTTATGCTGAATTAGATGTTAATGATCATGTCATGGTTGAAGCACTTGGTGATCTTAATGATCCAGGTCAAACAGCTCCACGTAATAATATATATGGTTATACATATACACATTTTAGTGGTGTACTTTTATTTTTAACAGATATTCTATCAATAACTTAAATGTCATTTTGTGTTGTTTTATTTTTATTCTCGACTAGAATGCAAATAACTTTAATAAAAATGAACGATTTTTTTTTTCCTTCTTCTCCTAAGGTTCTCTAAGCATATAAGAAAAATGTCAATTTTGCAATGGATCTAATTCAATCTGTCTATCTCATTCGGGAATCTATGTAATAAGAAAGTCAAGATATGATGATGTCTTTGACATCTTTATAATGGTTTTTTTTTTCATTGGCTTCAATAATATAAATATGAATCTCTGCTGTTGTTGTTGTCGTCATCATTCGAGATCTAATTGAATTTGAGTAAAATAAGTGTCATTTCTCTGGAGAATAAGAATAGAACGAATGATAAATTCTTTTTTTTTTTTTCAAAAAGAACTTCTTGATATATTGATATTAGATTTGATTTATATATAATAGATTTTTCTTCAATGTCAGAACAACAAACATCATTTCTTCTTGTGTGTTTTTCTTATAAAATAATGGAAAATATTCGGTGAGTGTGAATCAGAATAAATACAAAACAAAATCAGATATGCAATTATTATATTCTGTTGATCAGTTAATTCTATATATATATATAAAGGAAAAAAAAAGGCTACTGAATGTATTTTGAAGACATTTTTTTTTATCATATGGTGTATATATATATATATTCTTGTGTGTTATTTTTCTATCCGATAGCGATTGATTGAAGACGAATCAATTTATAATGAAAATTCGATTGTATTTCTAATATTATTCATAATCATTATTGAATCAATGATGTTTGAATTTCTTTCTAATAGAATATATTTTTATCATCATGTTGAAGAGAAAGAACACTCGCTCGTGTACAATAGATAGACTGATTTATGAATATCGAGTTTCCGATTATCTATAGATGTCTAGTCGTAATGTTGAGGTAGAATATTAAAAAAAAAATGACGATATAAATTATTCTACATTCTATGTCCTTTAGTCAATCAATTTTTAATATAGTCATTGACAAGCAATAGTTAACCTTGATGGAAAAAAAGGAAATGACAATAACATTTAGACTTGTCTATATGTTCTTTTATATAGTGGTTCGTCAGTATATATATGTTTATATATTTCTAGATAACAATTCTCGATAAATAGCAGACATCTTATTTTTGATGTTGCAATAATATATTCTTTTCATTGTAAATGCTCTACGTCAATATTGATTATAATCCATGTGGTATTGTTCATATATTTTCATTTATAATTATTTGATATTTTTATTTATTTCATTAATAAAATCAAAACAAATACCATTAATTGGACTTTTTACAAGAGATAATCAACATAATAATAATTATACATCATCATCATTAATTATTGATTATGCAATAAAACATTTAAAAACAATAACAAATCTTCATACTGAACTTGTTATACAACGTCCTGAACAAGATATTCCATGTGATATGGCTATTGGAACAAAATTAATTTTCGATATGATACATCAAAGTCCAAGACCATTAGCTATATTTAGTGGTTCATGTCAAACAGTAGCATCAGCTATTGCTGAAACAGCTGGAGTATATGATATGACTATAGTACGATGTTGATCTTAGTTTAAGATTTATTAACTTTGATTCTTGTTTTTTTTTTTTTGTGTATTTTAAATAGGTAATCTATTCTGACACAAGTTCTCTTTTTACTGCTAGAGAAAAATATCCATCATTAATACGAACTGTACCAGGTGATTCTCAACATAATATAGGTATATAGAATTAATCAGTAAAAAGAAAAAATACAATTAAAATTTCTTTTTTGAAAATATTAGCTCGAAAATTATTATTGAGAAAATATAATTGGCGTCGATTTGGAATATTATATCAATATGAACGACAATATACGATGGTAAATTAAGCAAAAAAGAATAATTTACTTTTTCGAAAAATTTTTTTTTTTTATTGTAGCCTGTAACACGATTCAATGATCTTTTGCAAGATGAAAATGATTGGGAAAATGCTCTATCGAAGGGTATATCATTTAATGATTTGGATGAAACACAAGGTAATCGAACAAGAAATTCATTAAAAGATGCATTTGATGAATTACAAGTAAGTTTATGATAATTAAAAATTGTTAAAAATAACTTTGACAAATACTAAATTGTTAATATAGATTCTTTTATTAGAAAAAAAAAGCAAAACAGGAATACGCTGTCGGAGAAAATTTCCTTAACAAAAAGTTTTCCGGAAGTTCCATAAAATGTTGAAGTATTGCCTTTGTTTTCAATACTGCTATGAGGCACTCAATGAGCATATAATTAATCATCTATTATATTCACATAATAGATCATTTGTTTAAACAATATCAATCTATATATTTCTTTTCTGAGGAAAAGAAAAACATGCATAAATCATATACGTCATTATGTAACATAAAAACTTTTTTTCTGTTTCATATTTTCTCAAACAAAAAAAAAAAATCTTTGAAATTGCGGGGAGGAATTACTAACTGTTGAAGCTTGGTTTCTTCTATATGAAACTATTACACAAGATGTCAGAAAGTGAATCCCTGTGGAGTTAATCATCAGCTATTTTTATCTCCGCATCTCATGAGCGACCAGACTAGTGTTTATGTGATTTGATAGCATGTGTCAAAAAGCTTCAAAATGTTATATAAATATTGAAGAAATCCTAAGGATAATATTTTCGAAATAATATTTTGAGCCTTTTCTTTTTACTCGTATTCAGTAGGCTTCAATAGGACAACGAAGATTTGATTGAAAACTGGTCTCCCTCAAGGTTGGATCAAAAAATGAATTTTATGAAAAACTTTGTTTTTATTGTTTATTCATTTGCTATTTGAACTTCTACTATTGTTTTATAACCTTAGAACTTGATTATCACTGTTATAATAATTTTTTGATGAAAATAAAAATTTGTGAAAATATATGTAGGTCCACACAGTTTAGGATGCTGAGTCAGAATATCATATTAACTTTCACTCAAATCTCAATTTGCTTATCGAAATCTATTGAATATTAGTAACAAAGGACTCAAAATTTTATGACATGGATAGATAAAAAGAACTAATTATCATCAACAGTCGAGTCCAATGTACATGTAAGAACCATTGATTATTTCAATCGACCTGTGCACAACATAAAAAAGTGCTATATAACTGATTCTACGAGAATTTATTTTCTCATACTTTGTGTTATAGCACGAGGAAACCTCTACAAGTATCAAATCGTTTCTTCGACGAAACGATATGTATTGAATGAGTATCAAGTTATTAATCTAGAAGAATTTAACATAAATCAATATTTTCTAAGTATTTTCTTTTTTATTCTAATTCTTCTAGCGAAATAACATTCGAATAATTCTTGGTAATTTTAATTCAACAATGGCTATTCGAATATTTTGTGAAGTAAATAAGTAAATGTTTATATTACAATTCTATAAATATTATTTAGGCATTTCGTTATAATTTATTTGGTTCACGTTTTCAATGGATTATTGTTGGTTATTATGAATCGGAATGGTGGTTAAATAATCCTGGTCCTTGTAATACATCAGAAATTTTACGTGCACTTAATGGTACACTTCAAACTCGTGTTGCTAAATTAGGTTATTATGGTAATACACGAACAATAGCTGATTTAGTTTGTATATATTATTTTTTAAATTCTCTTTTTTCACATGTGTGTTTTTTTAAAAAAAAAAAAAAAAAAAAATTTTCAGACACCATATCAATTTAATTTTGATTTATCAATACTTAAAACATCAAATTATTTTGTTGGTTATGCATTTGATGCAATATTAACATTAACATCTGCATTTGAAAAATTAAAAAATTGTCCAAATGAATTTCATATTGATTCTATATGGCGTCAATCATGTTGGCGTCATGAATTAATTAATATAATTAAAACAATTGATATTGAAGGTGTTACTGGACGTATACGTTTTAATAATGGTGATCGTATTGGTGAAATTGTTATCGAACAAATTTTAGGTATAACAGAATAAATTTTATCTTTTTTTGCAACTTTTCACATAGTTTATCATAGTTACAAATCAACAATAGTTGATACTGTTCAGTTATTTGTTGCATTACCAACAAATCAATCAAAATATATTCTTTTACCAGCAAGAAATGAACGAAATATAACTTGGCATGGTAAAAAAAAAAAACTATTAGTGAAATTTTCTTTTGAAAATCTTTTTAATTTTCAAACTAATATAGGTTATGGACCACCAAATGATCGTATAAAACGTATTGAACGTGATCAACGAATATCTATATTAACATATACAATAATGGCTAGTATTAGTGGTATAGGAATTCTTTTAGCCATAGGATTTTTTGTATTTAATATTATTTTTCGTACACATAGGTAAAGTAAAATCGAATAATAAATATTCAATATTTTCATTTTTTTTTTTCATTAATAGATTTATTCGAATGTCAAGTCCACAAATAAATAATTTAATTATAGCTGGTTGTATTCTTTCATATACAAGTGTTCTTTTAATGGGTATTGATTCAACTTTATTAGGAAAAAGAAGTTCAGAATCAGCAATGAATTTTATTTGTGCAGTAAGATTTATTGATTATTTTTAGATATTAATTTATTTTTATTTTAAATAAAGGCTCGTGTTTGGACTTTATCAATTGGTTTTACTATATCATTTGGAGCTATATTTAGTAAAACATGGCGTGTTCATACAATATTTACTAAAATTCATGCATCAAAACGAGTAAATAATAGAATAAATTAAGTTTAAAATAAACTAATAGTTTGTTTATTTTATTTTTAAGGCAATTAAAGATTATCGTTTATTTATATCAATTGGAATACTTTTTGCTATTGATATGGCTTTATTAACATCATGGCAAATTGTTGATCCATTAAAAATTTTTAAAGATATTAGTCAAACACAAGTATAGAAAATTTTTAAATAAAAAACTAAAGAATTCTTGATTATTATTTTATATAAATATAGACTAAAGATGAAGATGTTGTTATTTTATGGATTTATGAAGAATGTCGATCTAATCGTCGACCAATATGGATTACAATGTTATCAATTTATAAAGGTGTATTAATGGTAAGTCATATCGAAGTGAACAAATAATTTCCACTGACTGTTTGCTTAAAAATGATTTGATATCAATAGAAAACGATTCGATTAGACATCCATAAAATTCGAACTTCAGTTTCATGCTCGGGAATATTTAGCCCACGACTAGTACTTTTTTCTATCATCTCTTTTGAATTATCTTCTAGTTGGTGTTTGATCAGATGAACTGTTTAAAGCCATAGAATCTTTAGTTTCAATCATTAAGATAATATGAAATGAGTCTAAAATGATCTATTCATCGTACATGACATAAAAATTAAACTTTCTATTGATTTGATTTTTACAAAAAATTTTCGTTGTATTTGTATCAAGCAAAGCCTAAAAACATATTCATATTCATAAGATATTTATAATAAATAGAACGAAGAAAGACGTTTTAATTTTAAGTGCTTTTCATGAATAACAGTTTCTTAAAATCTCGTATTTATTATTATTTTTTTTTATTAAATAAGGTTGTTGGATCACATTTTGCATGGGCAACACGAAATGTTCGTATAACTGCATTAAATGATTCGGCTTATGTTGGTATGAGTCTTTACAATGTTGTTTTATTAAGTATAACAACAGCTGTTGTTGGTTATTTTTTACGTGATCAACATGAACGTAATTATATAATAACATCTGTATTTATTTTACTTTGTGTTACAATAACATTATGTCTTGTATTTGTACCAAAAGTTCTTGAAGTAGCAAAAGATCCACGTTCAAGAGCTAAACCTCAACGTGCATTTTTTTCAAGTATGAAACATCGTTTATCAAGAGATAAACGACTTATAAAACAACAACCAAAATTATCCATTAAATATTTAACAAGTCAAAATGAAATGTTACGATTAAATGCAACAAGGGTTAGAATTTTTATCATATTGATATTTTGAAGAAAAGGAACTAGTGCTTATACTTTCTCTGTTCATTTTTGTTTTGATTGTGTTTGTTTTCAGAACATGAAACGACTATATTGAAAGTTGGATATTTTTAGTCTTAGGAAAAAAAGAAGAAATTATAAATAATTACCTTATTAACGAGTACAAGTTCGATATGGTAATTCAGACCATAAAATATCTCCATCTAAAATTCTCGATGTATTCTGTCTTAGTTTTGTTATTTGTAAATTCTATCAAATGCCCTCTCCTCTACGTGTAAAACTTCATTGAAAGCCTTTTTTTCTGATCAATGATAGAGGTTTCGATTAGTTATGTTTTAGATATTTAACATGGAAGTAATTCTGCTCTAAAAATAATGATTTCTTGTAGTAATACTAAATATAGTCAAAGTCTCGTTATACTATCTAACGAATGGTTATAACTCATATAAGGGGTACCAACCGTTTTTGATTGAATTTTTCAAAAGAGAGCTGATACCTATCGATTAGGTCTATAAGGACGACTTTGTGAGACTAGCAAAAATCTACAATGGTTCGTTCCTATGAGCTTCTGGAGTCGAGTTTGGATCGTTTTATCCAATTTTTGACCACGCTTGATATATTTACTAGAAAACCAAGTAATCGAATTAGGCCTGAAATATTGCGCGTAGATAGGTCTAATGACCTTCAGAATATTCTCTTGTTGAGGTATTGAATTTTCAAGGAAACTCAATTTTTGTGACAAGCGAATATTTCTGGGAAATTTGATATTTGAAACATTGAACATTCTTTTCTTCCGAAACTTTTAGTATATTCTACAAGTCATCATTCAATCTATAGGCGAAACTCTATTTTCTTTTATTTTTCAGTATATCTAAAGCTACATCGAAAGTTCAGTAAAAGAATCCTAATTCACACAAGAAAACCTCTACAGATGTCAAATCGCTTTTCGAACGAGACGATAGATAATAGAGGTCTTTATTCTTGAGATGGATTTTTCAACAAAACAAAAAAATGTGAGATTGTTCAACTAGTGTTTCCTTTCAGGAAATGTAAAGCTACTTTTACATGTGAGAGCCTTTCGAATATCTCAAGAAAGAATGCTCGAAAAAAGCAAGCCATTCTAGATTTTTCTATCAATCATTAGCACTTATCAAATAAACGTCGCTTTGATTGAAGAGCGATTTGATATATCGAGAGATTTACTCGTCAACTCCAAAAGTCCAAGAAGAAGAATTTTTTTTTAGACACTTTCTTGTCTTACCAATAACTCTTTGTAAATGTAATATGAGCTCGAATGGTGTGTGTGAGTTCGTGTAGCTTCCTGGTAAGAATTTTTTTTCTTGTTGCTTTGTGTTTACAAGTAGGAATAGTCTCTTTTATTATTGGTAACAGTTAGAGAAAATATCTATTCTCCATAGGAAAATCAAAATATCAATATTGTTTTTGTTTTGTCTTTTTTTTTTTACTTTAGTGTGATGAATTAATTAATAGACTTTCATCTGCAGTAGCAGATCCACATTATAAAGCGTATCGATATGAAATATATTTACGTATGTTAAAGATTGAAAAAAAAACAATTAATGAATTAAGTTAATGATCTTTTCTTATTTTAGCAATATCAACATGTATTAATGATGAAATAAAGCGTACTCTTGAATCCAATTGGTTATTTGAAGATGAAAATAAATTATTAATATAACGAAAAATAAAAACTAACTAATTTATTTGTAATTTATTAGTTGTTGCTTGTAATTACCGTTTTTTTTTGTTCTGTAAAAGTATAATAATTATAAAAAAAAAGAAACAACGAAGTTCCAGAATTTAAATGAATATACTCTATCATGACAAATCATATCAATTCTTTTTTTATGTTTTCATCAATCGTTCCAAGTAATTTTCAGGTACAATATTTCATCAATTATTCTACAAGTTTCTTCTTTCTTTCCTTGATATTTCTCTTTTTTTTCTCCTCTTAGAGTTTTTTTTTTTCTTGGTCAATAATTATCGATCACTAGTAGATCTGTTGATATTACCGTTCTTTCTATATCCAATAGAGAAGGAATCAAAATGTATATTTATCAGGTTGCTTGAGAAAACGATAGAGAATGAGAAAAGGAACGTTAGTACTATTATTATGCTAAAAGAAAAAAAAACGAGACGAGTGCGGTTACAACATGCGCCGGCTATGGCCATCATCACTAAGAACAACAAGAAAATACATAATAAAAAAAAGAAAGACGTTTCCAGCAATTCTCGTCTATCCTATAGCTTTTTTTTTTCTACTCTTTCGAAGGCCAGCACAACGACGTATTAGTATATAAACAACAAATTTGTTGCCTTCATTAGCAAAACAAGATGTATGGTAATTCGATCTTGCTAACTTTTATTTCGCTTATTGTATTGATTAATGGACAATATGATAATAAAAAGGATTTCCTTCAAGGTATTAAAATAAAACAGAAAAAAAAAAAAGAATCTTTTGATTATTTATTTCGTTTTTTTTTGTTATTGACATAGACATAAATCAACCAGTTCGAATTTCAAAATCATCATTTGATGCACAATTCAATCGTGGACGATGTCCTGATCGTTTTTATCAAATAGGTAATGAATGTTTATATTTTGGTACTGATGGTAAAAAATATTCATGGAATCAAATACAAAATATATGTGCAAAACGAATAGTTCGTTTATTAAAACAACCAAAAAAATTTGTAAATAGTGAAGTTAATATAAAACCAAAAAATGGTTTACGACAATTAATATTAAATACACCAGAAAAAACAAAAATTTTAGAATATCTTCATCGAGAATATGAAGAATTAAATTTTGCTATACGTCTTCCATCGGATTATAATACATTACAACGATGTCATGATGGAAAAGAAGATAATTGGCCACAATATTGTATTAATCAAGATAGTTCTAATGGTACATGTTTTGAAACAAGTGTACTTGCTTCACAACGTATTTGTTTACATCAAATAGTTTGTGATATACGTTCTGTAAGATTAGCATGTGAATTTACATTACCAGGTTTGTTATTTTGAAAGAAAATTGATAGATAGTTTAAGTTTACAATTTATTTAGGAAGTTCGGAATTGAGTGAATCAAAATTTCGTAATTGTCCAAAAAGTCATGGTCTTCGTCATCGTTTACCTATATGGGCTTGGCTTTTAGTAGTTGTTGGTGCTATGTTATTATTACTTCTTATTCTTGGTGGTGTCTTAACATTTATTCGTAGTTCAAAAAAAGAATTACCTCAAGTAAGAAAATCAGTATCAGAAACTCTTCGTACGGATAATACAGAAGGTATTAATTTTAATTTTATAAATCAAAAAAAAAAAAAATCATACTACTTTCATTTATTTTCTAATTTTAGCTATTAATGTCAGAACAAGTCGTCAAGGTTCTACTACTGAACCGGTATAAATTTTTATTTTTGTTCGCATTTGAAATATGATAATATTTGTTATTTAGATGCTTGTTCGAACTAGTATATCTAATACTGCCTATCTAGAGCCACAATCATTAAAACGTGTGATTCCTTTGACAACAAAAACAACAACAACACTAACAGTAGGACAAGATAGTACATCTCCATCTGTTTAATTAAAATATTTTTAAACTCTGTATGTTTTTTTTTTCTTCATGTGCGATGTTCTGCCGTCCTATGAACGTCGGTTTATTTTTCTTGTCTTTTTTATATATATATATGTATTTTTTCATTATAAAAAAGAAACACAAACAAACAAAAACAACGATCTGTTATGCATGTGTCTGTATGTGTATGTAAATGAATGGAAATATTTTTATTAATTAATCTACGTCAGTAATTGTTGATAAAGGTACTGAAGGTGCTTTCTTAGAAATTTGTTGGACGGTTGTTGGTGATGATGTTTGTTCATTTGATGATGTTTTTTTTAATGAACGTTCAAGTAAATAAGCATCCGATGGTTCTAAACGTCGATAATATTCAACTGCTGTTGAAATAATTTGAAAACCAAATTTTTTATAAAATGATAAAGCTGTTTCATTATTAACTTGAACATGTCTATTATAATCAAAACAAAACAAAAGAAAATGATAAAATTATATAGAATATTATTATTTTATATACATACAAATAGATACTGTCAATATTTCCTTCACGTTCACAAACTTTAAATACATGTTCAAGCATTAATGTACCTAATTATATTGCAACAAAAAAACAAAAAAAAATTAATAAATAATAAATGACATTAATCTATTCATTAATATTACCTAAGCCAAGTTCACGATATTTTGCAAGAACACCTAATGTCATTATATATAATCGTCGACGATTTTCTGATAGATCAATACGACAACATACGGCACCAACAACAATATCATTGCAATAAGCTATAGAAATTTTAATTTTTTGTAAATAATTCATCAAAATTATTTTTATAGCATATTTATTTAATTTCACTATAATTTACTCATATATGTGATTTTATCATGAGACAAGCATACGAGGGAAACATCTTTAATATCCTACATATATGCTATTATCTTAAGATATAAATAATGTTATTCTGTCAGATTCTCAACTAATATTCATATATATATTGATTGCTTAAATCGATCATTAATCTATACAAATAAAATAAGACAAAAGTCTCTATCAAGGTTAACTTGGCCTCCGCGAAAACAAGAAAGACAATGTCGTCAAAATAATGAAAATTAATATTCTTGTACTAGAAGATACTCGAAATTTTATGTTCATAAAGAAAAAAAAAATTACAGCTCACCGAATGATGATGAGAAGTGTATTATCTAGATTTTCTTTTCCCGGAGAGTCAATTAGACTTTCGAAAGGGGGGGTACCACCCTCTCGGCCTTCATGCTGAATAAAACACTGATAATGAAAACAAGAAAAGAAAGATATCGAAAAACAACGTGATCGACACATATCATAACAATCCGCCATTTGTTCCTTATTTCTGATGATTATTTATGAATCATAATTACTATTTTCATAACGGCGCGTAATGCTTGGGGTTGATAAGTATAGATCGAGGCAACTTATAGTAGATTTTTACAGCACATTGTCGAGCAAATCTACGATGTCTATTTATACTTTGTTTTTTTCTTGATGGAGCCATTCAGGATTCTTTATAGGTCCTAACTCTATAGTTTAATCTTTTTTTTTTTTTAGCTTGAAGTATGTCAAGATGCGGAGCTCTTTTTTTTACTCTTATGTTCCACTTAAAAAGTAAACGTTTTAATAAAAAGGAAATGTGCCATGCCTTGTATCTTGACATGCTCCATTAACCAAAAAAGATGTTCAATTAAAATGGGTTCTTAAGGTAGGAGATCGCCTTAATAGTACTCTCGTCTTTTCTGACCATTTTCCATCTAATTTTATCCAATAGGATTAAAAGGTAACTGAACAAATGCCTATAGGCAAAGCTTTAGAGCGAAATTCGTTTGTCCTTTTTTTTTAATAATTATTATACCAAAGATAAAAAATTCACTATAATGATCATATATTCATAATGGCAGCACATGGGAAGGTTTTCTTCGAGATATCCTCTAGTCTCAATAGGTCCTATGTCAGAGAATTCTCAGTCAAATCGAACAGTTAGATAAGGATCGTAAGCAACCAGGATATGATCTCATTACTGATTATGATTTTCTTTAAAAAGAATTAAATCTTTTAATATACCTAGTTTGCATAATTCACCAGCACCTAATAAATCTTTATAAAATTTTTCATTATAAGCAACTGGAAAAACATCCCGATTGAGTACTTTAAGTTGTTTTAAATTATGTTGTGTTAAATCGCCTAATTCAATACTGACACGTTTAACTCTGAACAAAAAAAACCCACCAGATAATTAATTTGTTTAAATAAATAGAAATTAAAAAGACAAACTAACATTCGTTTTGTTCGATTTTCTTTTGATTCACTATTAGTAATATTATTATTCATTGTAACAGTATTTGTCATATCTAGAACAAGAAAAAAAAAACAATGTCAACAGATTTTTTGTTTTTTAATGTTTATAAAAAAATTCTTTTTTTGTTTTAATTGTTTTTAAAATATTTATTTAAAGTCTTAAATTTTCCATTTCTTCTATTAATTCATTTTCACGTTTTATTTTTTCTAATTGATCAACTTCAAGTTTATCACCATTTGCTAATCGTTCTTTAAGACCTTTAATTTGTTGTAATTTCTAAATATTTATTCAATTAAATAAAAAAAAAAGAAAAAGAAATAGTAAACCATCATCATCATCATCAAAAAACAAACATACTTTATGGATTTGTTTAATTTTTTTATCCTTTTCAAGATCACCGGTAAATAATTCTTCAACACCACCAGGTTTCGGTACACGTGGTGATTGTGGTGTTGCTGGTTTTGCTGGTACGTCTTCATGTAATTTAGGAACTTGTCGAGTTGTTTGTCGAAGATGTGGAGGTCTATAAGCAGCTGCTGCTTTCGCTAGTGAAATAGAAAACAAAAAAAAAAGATTTAAGATAGGATATGATACTTTTTTTTCTAACGAATAGTACGAAAGTTTTGAACAATTACAAGATGACTAGCAGAATTTGATGCTCTTTCAGCCAGAAAAAATGGTGAGACTATATTTAATAAAGCAAGCTAAGAACTAAAAGTCTAACAACAAACTTCAAGAAATAGTAGAGTTAATTTTGTAAATGTGGGAATAATGGCATTACATCGAAAATTTTGTGTACTCAGACTTTTTTTAGAAAATTTTGAATCTAATTTGAGATTTTAAAATTGTTTCTAGTCATTTTAACCGATCGAATATAATGAAGGACTATTTTGTTTTAGAATATTTTCAGATAATTCGTTATATTACGTTTTCCTGGTGCAGAACCATCTTCAGCTTTAATTGCTGGTCGTTGACCACGAGCATATGTTCCCGGTTGCCATAAAACTTGCCATAATTCTTGATTTTCACCTGTTTTATATTCATAAACAAGTTCACCAGTTAAACGCCAAACTTTAAAACTAAAATAAATAAAAAAAAACATAATGTCTAGACTATTATGATTTATTCTTAAGAGAGAACAAATTCAACTATAATTCGTCGCTTGAACTCTCACTAATATTGATGATTAAAACATTGTTGACTCATGATTAAGTTTTTATTAGAACATCAAATAATGGAATTTCAACTTGAAATTCAATCGATAGATAGATCTAATGACTCTTAGCGCATACCCCTTTGTTAAGATATTGATTTTTCAATAAACAGTCATTTTGTTACAAAAAAGTGAGTTTACTTGGAAATTCAATACCGCCGTGAAGGAATATTCTACAAGTCATTAGATCTATCTGAAAAAAAGAGTCATAACTCGGCTTCAGAGGCCCATGGGCACAAAACCTATTTCAGTTTTTTTTTCTATTCTTTCCGAAACTTTCTTCTAGCTTTAATATGAACTCAAACAGCAAATTACAGTTCTGTTGGTTAGTATTTTTACCCATTTTTTACTCGTAAACGTGGTGCTGTAGTTGCTGTAATAAAATGAAAATTATCATAACACCATTGAAAATGTGTTGTATCAAGTGCTTCAATTTGTGATATACGTTTACGATCTTTCATATTCCTTAAAAAAAATTAAAAGAAAAAAAATATATATACATATATTTCAATAGATTTAATTATAACATACCAAATTTCAATATTTCCTGCAACATTTCCAAAACCACAAAGAGCAATATGTAAACCATCAAAACTATAATATGCAGCATTTTTTGCTCCTGAACTAAGTTCCCATGCAATATCACATTTAGAATTAAATATTGTTGCTTTTGATGGCATAACTAACATATAAAATACATGAAAAATAATTTATTCTATTAAAAATATTAAACATACATCCATAAACAACACAAAATTCATCAGCAATCGGTGACCATTCTATACTATAAATTGGGCCTGCTTTACCTATTTAAAACAAAAAGAACATCATATTCATTATTTAAAATATGAATATCAATTAATTAATTACTTAATTGAACATTACTACTATCACCATTTCGATTAAGATGTTGAAGCATTGTATCACCATAATAACTATTTTCCGACATATCTGAACTGCAAAGTACAAGTAATGCTGTTCCTAAAAACAATGAAATTTGTTTTTGTTTTATCAAACAAAAAGAAAATCTATATTAACCTTTATGATTCCATTTCATATTAACATGATCAAAATTATAAAAACTTTTGCTTGCAATAGTTGCTTTTAAATTTGGATATGTAAATAATCGAACAGAATCCGGTATACCCTATATAAAATAATATTACCATAAAGATAACATAAACATCTATTCGTCATTACCTTTTTACCTTTGATATAACTAGCTATTGTATATGGTGCATTACTCTTACCCAAACTAAACATTTGTAAGCCATCAATACTTAATCGATTAGCGTAACGTTCTTTAGTGGAATAAAAAGACAGAAAAAATTTTAAAAATAAACATGTTTTAAAGAGCAGCCATAAGAATTTACCGAAATTCGGTACTTCATAAAACCATACTTGATTTGTTTGCATACGGCCAAATATAGCTTCATCATTGGACCAAATCGGTGCCCTAAAAGAATATTTACAATATGCATTTTTCGAATAGCAGACGGACATATAACTTTCATTTGCTAGGGAAAACCTAGTCGTACGCGTATTATTTCACAAAGTTTCTCGATTAATTGTACAAGTTACACGTACTTCTTCGTGAAGGTTGATCATGTCGTTTTTTTGATCTCGTAAAGAAGTATAGGTCTGCTATGAACAATTGATCGGATAACGTTGTGAAATATTATTTTGTAATTTTATTGAGTATTACCATTAGACGTTTTTTTTTAGGGCTGAAAAGTGGTCTTAGGCACCTATTTCTACACTTCGAAGCTCATCCAACATATGTTTCTAATTAATCGTATTCAAAATGTTCTTTCTCAAAAATTAAATTAGAAAGTTTCTTTGATAATCAGTATCATATGTTATACAGATTCAGATAATCTACTAAGTGTGTCTCTCATTATAATTCCTAACAAAATATTTTACACCATTAGATAGAATAACAAGCCTCAAATCATGTTTATCATTATTTGAATCGATCAGAAGGATGACTTTTGTTTTTTTTTACATAATGTATGCTTGGATGCACACTGTGTCCTTTTCTACAATAAAATATTCTAAATCTTTTTGTATGGGTAAAATTTTTATAATATGACTTTTGAAAATATAATCAGAAAAGAATTAAATGATTTATCTCATTGATTATTTAATGACTATATAGATTTTTTATTTTTCATATTCTTACCATTCATTTTGTTTTTTTTGTATATAAGATGCCATTAATTCTCCATTAATTGATTTATAAATATATAAATTTGGTTTTTCATCTTCACCAGCTACAGCTATTTGTACAAAAAAAATAATTTTATTGTTTTTTTTTTTTTCTTAAAATTTTTATCTTACTTTACATACTCGTAAATGGTTCAAATAATAATAAATATGTATCTTGTGGACTATATTCTATAGCATTTATTCTTCGTTTTGGTAATTCATATAAAATTTGACGTGTATTACAACAATAAACTTGAATACTAAATAAGAAAAAGTATGAAGATAAAAATTTTCAAATAGTTTTCATTTTTTGTTCTCGAAACACACTTGTCTTTATTAGCAATAATAAATTGATGACCACTTCGACTAAAACATGTTAAACGACAATTTTCAACATCAAAAACTGCAACTTTGCTAATATCAGCTTCATCAGCTGGACTTGTTACTAATTGAACAGCACCTGGGCCACGAACTAAAACGAAGAAAATAATTATTTTCTTTATTTTATACAACTCAAATAAATCTACCTGATAATAACGGTACTGAACATGTATTTGATACAGCACAAGCCATATGAGACTCTTCTTTCTTTTTTTTTTTTTTAATTTCTATCAAATAAATAAATATTTTTTCTTTTGTTTTGTTTTGTTTTATCAAACTAATGACATCTATGTTACGAATAAACCAATAAAAAATCATATGACGATCAATTTTAAAAATAAACACAATACACGAACATAGATACATATATACACATATATTTCTCTTCTAACTATGTCGATTACATTTAAAAAAAAAGTATCATCAACATCAAATACTCGTTTACCATTAGGTACACATTTAAATTCAAATGGAACATTATTATTAACATCATCTGGTATATCATCCCTGGATACATTTATAGGTGAAGGTTTACCTATTGGTTCACTTGTACTTATATATGAAGATAAATATTCAAATATATCAGATTCTATTTTACGTTGTTATCTATCTGAAGGTATTTATAATAAACATGATTTATGTATATCAACATTAAGAACTGATCTAATAGAAAATTTACCAACAAAAGAAGAAGAATATCAAATATTAGATAATGATATAAATAATGATAATGATAAAATGAAAATAGCATGGCGTTATGAAAATCTTTCAACAATTAATTCATCATCAATAAAAAATATTCATTATGATTTACAAAGTAACAAACCAATATCAAATGAATTAATTGAAAAAATTAATATTCATAAATTAACATGGAATAATTATATAGAAGAAACTCATAGATTAATATCATATAGAAATTATTTATTAAAATATCTTCATAAAATTTTAACAACAAATTATTCATCACAATCTATTGATAAACATATTCTTCGTATTTGTATACAATCATTATCATTATCATTATTTGATCATGATAATAAAAATCATTTTGATGAATTATTTTCATTTTTATATTATCTTCGAATATTATTACGTACATCATTAGCAACATGTATAATAACATTAAATGAAAAATCAAAATTATTTGAAACATTAGCTGATATTATATTTGAATTAAAATTATCAAATATTAATCATAATGATTATATTGGTTTTTGTCAATTAATTAAATTACCACGTTTAAATACAATTCAATCATTTATTCCTGATACATGGGATATTGGTATAAAATTAATAAAACATCGAAAAAATCTTATTTTTGAAAAATATTCTATACCACCTGATCTAAGTCAAGATGCAAGTCGTGATGAAAAAAATAAAACATCATTATCATGTGCATCATCAACACATTTAGATTTTTAAAAATATTTGTTTCAAAAAAAAATCTTATATTTTTTTTATTCTAGATTGAAAAATTTCTTTTTTTTTTCTATGTCCTAATGGATGAAGAAGAAGATGATACATCATCATTTCGTACACATTTATTCGATTTGTCTATTAAACGATCGAATAGTTCACCTGCTCTTCCATCACTTGTTACTACTATTGAGTATGATTATAGTTTTTAATTTATTTTAATATTTATTTATTATTAATTTTTAGAAATGATATGCAATTTGATGAAACAGATTTTTGTGATTCAAAATTACGTCGACATAGTTCATCATTTGTAAGTTAAAATTCATTCTAAAATCTTTTTATTTTTCTATACATTATAAAAATTTATGTAAGTTAAATCATACTAAAATTGAAAGTATTTAAATGTAGTAGCATAATTAAAAAAAGTAAAACTATAAAAACTCTTTTTTTTTTTTTCATTGATTAATGATGTCTTTAATTTATTAGCATAAAGTTTCATATGTTTAAAGTAAAATAATTCATTAGAGAAAAAAAAAAAACTCTATTTGAAAATTTTAATTTAGAGTTCTCATCAATCTCGTCTTAGTCGATTTGCTCATATAATGAAAAATGAATTAACTAATCCAATTGTTGATGAAGCTTCACAAGAACGGTATATTATTATTGAAATGAAAATAAAATTTATTTTAAAAATATTTTCTAGTGATTTACATGATAATATGAAAATGTCGATATCATTTACTGATTTAGCAGTTGGAGTAAGTTTTTCAAAAAAGAAATTATTAAACAATATATATATATATATATTTTTAGGATGAACAACAGCCTCAACAATCAGCTCATTTAATAGATAGTCGTCGATCATCAGTAAATAGTTCAGATTCATCGAATCTCTGTTATTCATCTTCACCAAGTCCATCAACTCCTGCTCGACCTTGTGCTGTTGTTAGTAATCAAAGAGTAAGTATAATAATTGCAAGAAAAAAACCAAAATTTTATTCTTTTTATTTTGTTAGCAATGTTATAGTCCAGCTCTACAGCAACAAGTTGCACCATTTCAATGTTATTTAGCTTCTCCACCTAGTCGTTCACAAAGTCCTATTGGAATGATTACAAATACAAATACAAATAATACTAATAATAATAATAATACTAATAATAATAATTCATCAAGTAAACTTACATCTTTTCCACCTAATCTTAAACGAAAACGTAAGTATATTGAATTTTTTCTTTTTTATGTTTTCTATTGATTTTCATTTTCTAGAAACTGATGATTCAACAACAACTGGATTAAGTAATAAAAAGACTCGAATAGGTAGTGATAATGAATCACTATTTGGATCAACTAATTCACCGTAAGTATTTACAATTTTTTTTAAAGTTTTATATATTAACTGTTCGAAATCAAATCTGTCGATCTATGAGAAGCTATACCTGTTACGGACTGCAATCTATGCAAAAATTTCAAGTCGAAATTTGAAAATTAGAGGAAATTACAGAATTTATTAAAACAACAGTATATCCGAAAGAATAAAAGAAAATTTGTTTATCCTTAAGTCCTTGTATATTGTAAATAAGTGATGATGTATCGTATAAGACTATTAGTCAGGAAAATTTATCGTACTTTTCGGTTTGTGGTATAGGGTGTGTCCGATAGATTCATTTATCTTGTTTACTAGTATCTTATCTTAACTAAAACAACCTATCATCAATATATATGATAGATTATTATTAGACATTAGTCTTTTTATAGATAACGTATAATTTATTACAACAATATTGAAAAAATCATTCGAGTGTTTTTTTTTTGAATTTCCTACTTTCAACTTTAGATTTTACGTCTAGATTGAATATTTTCTGTGTGATTTAGATTCACACTTTTAAGCTGATCAGTTTCCGTTCCATAATTAACACTATGATATAGTTCTATGACGAATACTTTTAAAAAATCTGAAGATTATTGACTTTATTTTATTTGATATTATGAATTGAAAGCATTGTCTTTAAAACTAAGATGATAGATGATGCTATACCTTAATTTTGATACATTGAAAAGAAAAACACAACTGGATTTTCAATAGTTTATAATGTTTTTACAATAAAACTAAAAGTTATTGGAGTGAAAATTTGAATACCATAGAAACATCATAGATACATTTGCAACATTTTTTTTTTGCTTTTTAGTGAATCTCCATCATCGTCATCATCTGGTCTAATTGAATCGAATACAAATTTACTTACTACTCAACAATCACTCAATTTTCTATCTTCTATAGCTCCATCGTTATCTTCTTCTTCTTCTTCATCATCATCGACTGCTATGAATAATGATAATAGACATTTTAAACCTATACAACATGTTGATAATGATATATTTCCTCCACCAAATTCACCAAGTATATGTCCAAGTCCAACAAATTCTACATGTTCATCATCATCATTAACATTTACACCTATATCTCCAGCATCAACAACATCATCATCATCATCATCATTTTTACTTTTACCAGCAAATTTTAATCGTTCAACAGTTATACCATCAATACAATCATCAACATTAATTATACCATCAGCGACAAAAACTATTAATATAAATACAAATTATTCAAAATTAAAATCAAATAATCAAAATCAATTTCAACGTGATCGTTCAATGGATGAATCATCATCACTACAACCATTATCTGTTATATTACCAACAACAACAACAACAATTTCTCAACAAAAATCGACTAATTCATCATCATCATCATCTAAACAACAACAATTTTTCTTTTCATCTGATGACAATAATTCAACAACTGCTCAATGAGAATTTGCTGATCGTCTTTGTTTTTATGTACAAAGTGTGATGGTTATTTTGTTTTTTGTTGCTGTCGAATTTTGACTCTTTTTTTTTTTCTCTTTCACATGTGCTCACTATTCTATGGCGCTTCCAATCCTTTGGTTCTTTTCTTTTGCTTCGCACCATTCCAAAAACAGACAAACAAAGCAAATGCTGCTTATCAACTTTTTAAAATAGTAACATGTTATATATATATATATAACAAAAAAACAAATACTTTCTTCTTCTTGTTCTTACCTATATAAATACCAATACCACGTACTTGTGTGGTGAATTGAAAAACAATAAGTAACTTCTTGTGTTCTTTTTTTTTCTTGTCTTTGTATGTAGTCTGTAGTCTTTTTCTTTACTTGTGAACCTATATACACTTACACATATATTGTTTGCTGATCCTTTGAATATATATACATATATACGTTGAGCTTTCACTCTTCTTCTTCCTCTTAATATATATATATTTACAAAAAAAAAAAAATACATATTGAGACACGACTAAATTTAAGAGAATTATAGATAATGACTTTTGATCCAACTAAACATTCACATTGTCGATATAATCCATTGAAAGATGAATGGATACTTGTTTCACCACAACGATTAAGTCGACCATGGCAAGGTTGGTAAAATATTTATATGTAGAATATCTTTTTTTCTTGATTATTAACAAGTCTTTTATAATAGGTCAAGTTGAAGGTGATAAAAATGACGATGATGAAAATATGAATAACGATCAACAATCAACAAATCCTCTTTGTCCTGGTGCTATACGAGGAAAAACAAATCAACATAATCCATTTTATGAACATACATATATTTTTGATAATGATTATCCTGCATTGTTATCTGATATTCCTGATGATCAAAATAATAATAATAATGATGATGATCTTTTTCGATGTCATGTAGCTCGAGGTGTTTGTAAAGTAATATGTTTTCATCCAAATTCAAAATTAACTTTAGCACGAATGACACTTGATGATATTTCATATGTTATAAAAACATGGATAGATGTTTATCAAAATTTAGCAAATACATATCAATGGATACAAATATTTGAAAATCGTGGAGCTATTATGGGATGTTCAAGTAAAATTTATTTTGTCATTTATTTATTTTTTGTTTTTTTGGCTTTTATTATTTAATATTAGATCCACATCCACATTGTCAAGTATGGGCTACAGATTTTTTACCGAATGAAGTTCGTATAAAACATAGAACACAAAAAGATTATTCTATAAAACATCATGGCAATGTTCTTTTACTTGATTATATAAAACATGAATTAAATGATTATAAAAAAGAACGTGTAGTTATTGATAATGAATATTGGATTGTTATTGTTCCATATTGGGCTGTATGGCCTTATGAAACAATGTTATTACCTAAAAGACATGTTCTTCGTTTATCGGATTTAACTGATGATGAACAAATTGGATTATGTCAAATAATGAAACAATTATTAATTAAATATGATAATCTATTTAATACATCTTTTCCTTATTCAATGGGTTGGCATGGTGCACCAACAGGTAGTTTTAATAATGAAGATTGTTCACATTGGCAATTACATGCTTTATATTATCCACCATTAGTACGTTCAGCAACAGTAAAAAAATTTATGGTTGGTTATGAAATGTTAGCACAAGCTCAACGCGATATAACACCAGAATACGCAGCTGAAACTCTTCGTAATTTATCCGGTGAAATACATTATAAAGATAAAAAGAATATATAAAAATTTAATAATAAAAGAAAAAGAAAAAATAGAAAATTGTTATCTTAGTTAAATATACACGCGCTTATTTACCTTGTATTTAAGGTGATAGATAGGTCCTTTTTATTTTTTTCTATTTGATAATCTTATTCTTATAATATTTTCTTTAGATTTTTATAATACATAAATGGAATTAAGTAGTGACATAGAAGAAGATATTCGTCGTTTAAATAATCCAACATATATATCTGATAAAAATTATGAAGAATTAATTGAAAAAATTTTTTCATTATTTACATCAATAAATTCAAATATTGAATTGTCATCAACTATTGATAAACGTCTTATATCATCAATATTAACATTTATATTTGAATGTATAAAATATGATTTTGATGAAACATCAATTCGTTCAAAATTTGATGATTTACAATTTACAATGAAAACTCGACAAGATCGATTTATAAATCAATATAATAAAAATTTATCGATTATTCAATTATATCTTAAACAAAAATCAATAGAACATGATCGTTTATTAAATATAAATTGGCGTTTAGATTTACAATTAAAAACAAATTATACTGATAAACTTTTTCAACCAATTTATATACTTGATTGGACTAAACGAGATAAATATACAACAAATATTGATCATATACAATTTAGTTGTACACAAGAAAGTTTACAAGAACTTGTAGAAAAATTAAAAGATGCACAAAGTGTTCTTCATCAAATGCAATATCAACAACAAACTAAAAAATGAATATTTTTTTTGTGAAATAGAAAAATTTTCATGATTGTTACCAAAAGAAATAATAATAATTGATTATCTTTTTTTATTTTATTTAAATGAATTCTCGTAGATAAATTCGAACAAAAACAGAGAAAATATAGTTAAGAAGAGGAATGAGTCTACAATCATTAATTTAACAAACAAAAAATTCTTTAATGCACAAAAAATAGAGTTGAAAATTTTCTAGTAATTCAGACGGTTCTCTCATAAGACATCTTTAAAACTTGATACGATTTTATTTACAGATTTTGTTTTGTTGGATCACAATTCATTTTATGTTCTACTCTTGATTTCAATTTTTTTTAGATTAGATCATTTAATTTTAATATGGCATTGAATCTTTTTCGTACAAGTTTATTAACAACGAATAATCGTCAATTAATAATTACTATAATGAATATTCGTACACATTTTACTAAGACACCTAATCATCATACAAAAGCTAAATGGAGACCATTTCGACGAGCAAAAGTTCTAGATGTATATATCTATCTTAATTAATTTAGAACCTATATTGTTTATGATTATTTTTTGTTTTATTGTTATAGATTGATTTACCTGATTTTGGTAAAGATCGAAAATTACGTTCATATACATTACAAGAACAAAGAGAATATTTAAAACGTGAAGGTATTCCTCCTGTTCGTAATGCTGAATATAAACCATTATATATTGATGCATCAAGTAAATATTATTAGTTGTTAATTACTTATTTATTCATCTTGTTTTTTTAGCTGAAGCATTTGAAGCTTATGTACCACCAGAAGGAGATGGAAAAGCTACATTAATGTCAAAAGATGTAAGATTTATTGAATTATTACAAGTATTTAAATTCGAACAAAAATATATGTTTGTTTTAGAGATTAAATCAATTTTATACATCATTAAAAAAAAACATAGCAACAAGAAAACATTCAAGTACAATTCGTAAATATGAACCAGATTTTGAACCATTATTATTTGCTGAAATAGCTCAACAAAAATATATTGATGCACATCAAGCATTAATGAAGTAAATTAAATTTTTATTTTTAATCTTTGTTAAAATATAATTTTCTTAGTCGTGATGAAGAACGTCTTATTCAATTAGTAACACCGGGATCATTTGCAGTAGGTAGCATTCTTTGTGTTGTTTTTTTTTTTTTTATTTTTAATTTTATTAGCAAATGAGTCGTGGTCTTCGTTATAAAACTTTACATTGGAAATGGATTGAAGAAATCGAACCATCTTATGTTGTTGCAATAAAAAGTGGAGAAATTCTTAAAGGTATGACAATGGCTCAAATAACTGTACGAATGCATTCAAAACAAGTAAATATTTAATTCAAAATTATTGCAATATTTATTTATTAATTATTTTTAGACTTGTGCAATTTATGATCGATTTGGTCGTTTAATGTTTGGTAATGAAATATTACCAAAAGATGTTCTTGAATATATTGTTTTTGAACGTGTATTAACATTACCACATAGTCAATGGCGTGTTCATTCAAAAATATTACCATCATGGCTTCCACCATCAGATCCATTATTATATACATTTGAGAAACCAATTATAAAATATATTGATGAAGCGACGTCAACAGATACGATTGAAGATGAAAAAAAACGAGAACATATTGCTAAAGAACAAGAAACAACAACAAAAACAATACCACCACCAAATGAATTAAAAACACCCATACCAACTCTTACCGATATAAGTCAACATAATAAAAAAAGAACTGTTGGTTATACATAGTTGTTCTTTTCAATGTATTGAAAAATAAAATTAGATTGATTTCAAATGTAAAACTATACAATCATTTTTTCGAAATATAGTCTAATAGGTACTGCAAAAGTTCTTCATTAATGTTGTTTTCAATATAACGGTGACCACAACTTCTCATGAATACTCAATAGTTGTCCAGATTAGAAAGAGCAACATCTTTTTCAGAAAACTATATAAAAAGATTTGATTCGAAATACTTATTGAAGACTGAAAATTGTCTTGCAGTCGGCTTTGGGTGTGGGTGTTGGTGTAAGGTGTGTATCTTCTCTTCACTTATACCCATACCCACACACACGCACCTATCCTCTGATTATTGTACTCGGTGTTTTCCTTTATGATTTATGTTGTATGGAATGTCAGCGTCTCATTCAAATATGGAAAGAAGGACATTGGACAAACAATTCAATGACGATCGTAGTCGTCCTCTACCCAATGATTATACTTGGTTCATATATCATTGAATGAAATGTTCAACTAACAAACACAGGATTTTTGAGGTAAATCAAAACTTCAGCAAGGTTTTTCCCGTTTCATTTCAATCTCTTTTATAGGATGAATATTCATCATACAAGGCACCAAAATCAGTTTTTTATTTTCAATTAGTTGGGATTTGGTATGCATTTCTGGAAAATTTACTCAACATCGTTCTTTTGTGGTTCGGAATTTGAGAAGCCGAATCAAACTTTAATTTCAACAAAAAGTAGAGTCATATTCTCAATCTTAGAAAAAAATCATGTCCATGGGCTAAATTGTCTCAAAAATACACAGCAAAAATACTCAGATATCAAAAACTTTTGTTTAGCTGATCCATTGCAGAGAATAAATTAATCTTATATATATATGTGTTTGTACATTGACAACTTTCATTGAAATATTATTGTCATTAGTTGGATCGAATAAAAGATAATCGTATGTGCATCATGAAAGGGTGGCATGTGTCAAATAGAACATTGCAATATTGAAAGTGTTGCATGGCTCAATGACAAGGAACTCATTCTGTTATTGGACATAGCTCATGCAGCCATACATACTAATAAAGAGGAGATGATTCACTACTTTTTACGAATAGGCATTAGTGGTTCTACAGTCACCTCAATCAAGCTCTTTTTGAAGTCTTATTCTGTATAGATTATTATAGTTTGTTTATAATTTCTATTTTTTTTTTGAGATCATTCGGAACAACCCTCATCTTTGCCCTAAAAAAAACATGTTATAATCTTTTTCCATGTGAAGCCATTGAGATAAATGATGAAATCAAAGCATCATGTTAATGTGCAAAAGAGAAATATTTTTTTCTCGTTTCTTTCTGTGTGTGCTTCTACATAAAATGAAAGAATAGAACGATCAACATCCATATACATGTTTGATTTTCATTTCTTGAAACAAACAATTGCAAACTCAACTGACATTGAAAGAGTGAATCGTTGAATAGTTGGTGAGTAGCTTTTGAATGTAAAATATTCTAAATTTTGTTTGAGATCTGCTTAAATAAATTCTTATTTCATTCATGTTATAA